AGTCACGAAGCCATGTTGGTGAGGCAGAGGCACCGACATCAAGTCATCAGACAACTCGGCGACTGAAGACTTTCAATCTGCAAACCTACAAGCTACACACTCTTGGGGACTATTCAACATCAATATGCAACTTCGGCACAACTGACTCATATAGCACTGAACTGGTGAGTAAATATGTCCTACTTATCGATATTGTACTTAACTCCTTGTGGATTATAGGGTGAGCTGGAGCACCGCACCTCAAAAGCAAGGTATCATCGAACAGACCGGAAAGAATATGTGGAACAAATCACTCGCATCGAACGGCATCAGGCCCGTATACACCACATTTGTGACGAGGAATCATTACACAGTGTAGTGAATGAGGAAGAAGTTGCGACATCGCCTGAAGCTCATTTCCACATCAGTAAATCTCAGAATTACCCAGAAAACATTCTGCTGTTCCTTCAGAGGAACTTAGAGGATCCTGCTGTAAAAGTATGTACTATAAAGTGTTGCGACAGCTTGAATGCAACATGGTGCTAATTCTGAGTCACAGGACTTTTTACCCAAGCTTCAGCACTTTTTCATGCCAAAAATCAAGGAGATACTAACTGCAGAAAATAGTCTTTCAGATCATACTGATAATTCCACCGCTGTCCCAGGAACTACCCCAGCACCCTCGGACTCAGAAGGCCATGTCTTTATTAAAGCCGATCGCATGTACAAACACAGCTTGATGCGTCTCAACCACACAACATATGATGTCCGCCAAGCGCAAGATATCATAAATCCATCAACATCACATTGCAATGTGATGCTCCTGGGCCAAGCCAACAGCATGACCAACTCCAAGTCTGGAGATCTACGGCATCCATATATTGAGCCCCTTCAGTGACAAATTCTGTATTATACGGGCCACCCGACCTACATAATATCCCATATCAGATGGGCTAGTGGACCATGGGCCCATGTTGTGTATATCCACGATGATGACAGATGGGCCGGGTAACATATTATTTCCAATGGAGACAGGTGGGCCCATGTATGCCAATGATATATATATCCTTGATGTTGACAGATGGGCCGGGGGAATATGATCATTCATGGAGATGGGTGGGCCCATCTGGGTAATATGTAGAGTAGGATATTATAGACAGCTGGGCTGCAGAGAGGTAAGGCAAATATTGTTATATAGACGGGTGGGCCGACAGGGGTGTATTACATATACGGGTGGGCCGGGGTAGTGGAATATTACATAGACAGGTGGGCTGACATGGGGCATATTATATATACGGGTGGGCTGACATAAGGGATATCAAATAGATGGGTAGGCCGAGGGTGCGACAAAATATTTATTACATAGACAGGTGGGCCGAGGTGGTGGAATATCACATATATAGGTGGGCCGACATAAGGAATATTAATTAGACAGGTGGGCCGAGGGTGTGATAAAATATTTATTACATAGACAGGTGGGCCAAGGTGGGGTATAATTATATAGACAGGTGGGCCGACGTAGGATGTATTATATAGACGGGTGGGCCAACATAGGATGTATTACATAGACGGGTGGGCCAACATGGGGGATATTACATAGATGGGTGGGCTGATGTGGGGGAATTGTACATAGATGGGTACATATGGGTGAGCCTAGATATGTTTCATCAAGACATACAGCTGATGTAGCCACCAGTGAATCAAACACGTAGGATACATGCACACTATGAGTGCATATACCTACCATCGACCACCGAAATCTAAACCCATAAGCACGAAAACATGAATCGACCATGTGTGGCATTGACCAATAATCAAGTACTGAAGTGGGAAAACCCCACACCTGAACCCTGGTGTGCAACATATCCTATTTCTACACACGGACACCAGAAGCACAACACTCACAAAAATATAAATGTCAAATTTTCACAGTGCCGAACCCCGAACCCTGAGATTTTACCAACTCCCAAACCCCGAGATTGTGGACTGCTGGGTCTCGGGGGTCAGGGATCGGCACTCGGGACTTGGGAAATTTGGGGAGATCAATAAAATTTGATCTACAATGAATTTGATTTACAAACTTTTGAAAGATATCTGTTGTCTCACATATCGAGTCCCAAGTTCCGGGACCCCCGAACCCCAAAACCCGGGACCCAGCAGTCCACAATTTCAGGGTTCGGGGTTGGTAAAATGTTTATGGATATATGAAAGGTTGATTCAAACATGTTTGAAAAATGTCTTTCATCTCAAAAATCAAGTCCCAAGTTCCGGGTTAGTGCTGAAGCTTGAAACTTAAAATTAGTGGAAAATGAAATCTCACAACAATGTACACATGAAGATGTTTCATTTCCTTTGACAATTCACCAAGTGTCTTGTACTAACCTGACAACACAGTCCGGGCTTCAGGCTTCAGGGCTCGGTACACGACACTCGGGGAATTGTGAAATTTCTATTTCCTTGGACATTTCACTGAGTTCCGAGTTCCAGGCACCGAATTCCGAGTTCCGAGCTCCGAGTGCCAAGTGCCGAAGCTCAAAACTTGAAATCAGTGGAAAACGAAATCTTGCAACAATGTACACATGAAAATGTTTTATTTCCTTTGACAATTCACTGAGTTTCTTGTACTAACTCAGGGAATTGTGAAATTTCTATTTCCGCTCCATCCCTGCCATCGTCAGATCAATGAGAGGAGGAAGTGCTGATTCAGGGGGTGACATGGAAGGGGGGACTGGTTGATGAAGCAACAAGGATGTTGCATTGGCAGGGGGGTCCGAAAGTGGAAATGATGGGTGCCGGAGGATGATTTCTCATTGAAGACCTTCATGGAGGCATTGCAGGGTGTCAATCTTACCATCCTGCTCTGCCACACGAGCCTCGAGAATTGCGATTTGAGCTGCACCATCCTGGATAGCCATTGCCATGGGCACATCAAGTGCCGAATGAGAAACTCCAGAGATTGATGATGGAACTCCTACAAGTGGAAAATGAGGTCAAATGGTCATAGAAAATTTGAGTGACATATGAGCTGATGTAGGTGTAGGTGCCTTGACGGCAGTGATGGTCTTGCTGCACCTGTCCCTGTAGAATTGATGTATCATTTACTACAATTATAAGGGAAGTCTGGTACATGGATTACTGTAGTGCATAGATATCCATTATTATAGGACTGATATATCAGTACAAGAACAAAAACATAGAAACTCTCACTTTTGACATTTCTGATGTTTTTCAGCATCTTACTCTTGCATAAATAACCAGCCCTGCTCATATATTACAAGTAGTACATTCTGTACAGGGGGTATTTCTACTGATGAGAAGCCTACATAGTAATCAAGCTTGTGATAAGTGATCAGATACCTGTTATACCTCTCATATATGTTCCAGATGATGTATTTGAAGTTTTAGAAAGATCCATGAAGGACTGACTGAATGACAAGTAAAATGACATATCTGTGAAAAGTGACAATTGACATATTTTTACACAAAGTCACATTTATATATGGTACAGGTCAAATATATCATTCAAAATATATAGGATATATGGTGGACTACTAAAGCAACTTATACTACATACTGCCCTGAGATTAGAGGTTTGTGGAAGTAATGTGGTGTATATCTGAGTTGACCCAGCATTAAAGTCCTGCTACTGTCCAACTGATCATTTTCGATGTTTTGGGTCTTTGAACTTTCCCACACTCAATTTCTTATCTATTTCACTTCCTCAGCACTCAATTCTTGTTGGATTGTTTTGTAAATTTAGGTATATGATAGTGAATATATTTTAAATCTACTCCAGGTGTCTAATTATTAAATTTCGATGTTTTGAAAGTATGGGCTCCTTATAAGTAGAAATAGCAAGTATCCACACTAGCTCAAAACTCCAGCCTATTTTGAGCTGATCCTTATCATACAAAGGAACATCATTTTGGTTGTTCCCAGCCCAGTCGCTCATATTCTTCAGTTGTTTCCTGGACACACCTGGAACATGGTTTTGGACCACATCTTTTCATCCCACCTCTGTGAGTTTCATGATGTCGCAGATACGGGAGATCCATCCCGGATTGTATACAACTATGATACTCCATGGTGGATGAGACAAACTGCAATCCCGAATGAACCATGACAATTGGATCAGGTAATGACTTGCTGTATCATTCACTACCAGCATTGACTAGTAAGAATTTTATTCCATTTCCATGGTTCATGACTAATCTGTTCTAGGGTGGTGTTGAGAATGATGGTCTCACTCTTCCAGAGCAGGTGGATCAAACCTCAGTTCCAGCACTGATGGGACTGAGGTGGATAAGAGAACACCTCCTGATATTATTTGAGGAGCAATAGGAGGGCATCCGTGATATGATGGCAGAGATGCAGATGTATGCCACCATCCTAGACAGATTGAAGATAGGCAGAGGAGAGTAGCCCTAGTCACTGAGTTCAGAATTTTGAAATCCATGTTCCATACATGATGTAATGAGTACTGAAAATCACATACCAACTTCCAAATATCTATTCGTGTTCCGTGATTCAGGAATCGGGTGTCAGGGACTCAGTATTCAGAACAGTGTTGAGTCCCGAGCTCCGAGTCCCAAACCCCAAACCCTGAGTCATGAGTCCCGAACCCCGAGCTCCGAGTCCCGAGTCCCAAACATGTTCGTGTTCCTGTTCCATGATTTGGGAATCGGGCGTCAGGGACTCAGTATTCAGAACAGTGTAGAGTCCCGAGTGACAAGTCCTGAACCCCGAGTCATGAGTCCCGAACCCCAAATCCCGACGTTCAGGACTTGGGACTCACAGCTCAGAGTTTGGGACTCATGACTCAGGGTTTGGGGTTTGGGACTCGGAGCTCGGGACTCGACACTGTTTTGAATACCGAGTCCCTGACGCCTGATTCCTGAATCATAGAACACGAACACATTCGGGACTCAGAGTTCAGGGTTTGGGACTCATGACTCAGGGTTTGGGGTTTGGGACTCGACACTGTTCTGAATATCGAGTCCCTGACGCCTGATTCCTGAATCATGGAACAGGAACAGGAACACATTTGGGACTTGGGACTCGGAGCTCGGGGTTCGGGACTCATGACTCAGGGTTTGGGGTTTGGGACTCGGAGCTCGGGACTCGACACTGTTCTGAATACCGAGTCCCTGACACCCGATTCCCGAATCATGGAACATGAACACATTCGGGACTCAGGACTCAGAGCTCAGGGTTCGGGACTCATCACTTGGGACTCGACACTGTTCTGAATACTGAGTCCCTGATGCCTGATTCCCGAATCACAGAACATGAACCATGAAACATGAAACACTGACACATGTGATTCCCAATGTTCCAGATACCCTGACACCCGACACAGTTGCTGAGCTCTGGGTCGCTAACCCCCAAACCCCAAAATTTGGGACTTGGTACCTGGGCTTCCAGGTCTCGGCATTCAGAACAAAGTATCCAATTCCGAGTCACGAGTCCCGAACCCTGAAACCCGGGGAGTCCACAATGTCAGGGTTCAGGGTTCTGTCAAATGTGTACGGCAATCACAAATGTTAATTCAAGCATATTTATACATCTTCTCCCAGTCTCAAATATTGAGTGCTGAGTTCCGGGTTTTGGGACTCAGTACCATGGCACTCAGGACTCCCATATGTCAAGTCCCGAGTTCCAATTATCATGCCATGGACGCAATGGCTGCTGGCCTTGCAATGGCTTTGAGGATATTCTTGCAGGAAGGTCCCTTCAATGATGCAGATACCTCCGGATCGGACACATTCTTTGGGATTGGTGAGTATGACTGCTGGAATCACCATCTCATCAGATCCTACCTCATGTCCCTGTTGAAACCATGCCAGAGATAAATTGATGCATCCAGGAGTTGTGCTAACATTGTCCGAGCCCCGTTTGAACCACTTTTGATTAGTTCGCCAATTGCCATCAGTATTACAACTGGGATAAGTCGAACTATCAAAGTCCAGATGGACAATTGGCTGAGTGCCTGATAGATGTAAGTCTTCTCTCGTATGAGAGGTCAAAGGTTTCTTGGCTAAGGCAAGTGTCGCTGACTTCCTTAGAATAGTGGTTCAAGATAGTAAGGTTGGAGACCTTACTGAAAGACTATGTTCCAGGTAAAACCCAGTAGATTAAAGTGAGGAATACAAGCGGTAGTGTTACAGTCTATATAGACAATGTTCAAGCGGAGCTTGTAAATGGCGTATCAAGATAAGCAACATGAGGCGGACGGCCTGCTTGGATAAGAGAGATAGGCAACATGAGGCAGATGGCCCGCTTGGATAAGAGAGATAGGCAACATGAGGCGGACAGCCCGCTTGGATAAGAGATAGCAAGAATAGTGTAAGACGGACAGCCTGTTTTCATATGTGGTAGAAAAGAAATGATAGGGGTGAAATGTTATTGTAACAATCAGCCCTTACACTTTTTTCAAGGCTTGGAGCGAGCAAATCAGTGGCCTCCCTGATTTCCTTCTGTAGGTTCCATTTGATATTCAATATCCATTGAGTAACAATGTATATTACACACCTGGGTGGTGTCGGTCAGGGCGTCTGGGAGGTACCATGTGATGATGGCACCAGATGCATCGAGAATTGTGGCAGGTTCATTGACCAACTTTTTGTCTTCATGGCCAGGAGGACACCTCTCAAGCAACTTCGCTGAAGGTACAACAATTCAGATGGTGAGTCTGAACAATGTTGGGTCTTGCAGAACCTAGCTGCTATTCGACCCTAAAGGGTTTCTGGACTAGGCTCAAGGCTCAGAGGAGAGGAAATATCATGAAAAACTACTCTGACTCCTACTGGTAACTGGTGAAAAGATAACTGGCTTATGTAAGCTACAAAAGTGCCAACATAAGGTAAGGTAAAAACAGTCTCTACAAGCCCAGCCAGAAATGAATCCCTACATCGCCTCTCTCTGTTCATTATGCCCAGTGTCCTTCAGGGAGATCAATTTGCTATATCTTGCAATATCCATCTGCATCTGAATTGTCATGCAGGAATTTGAATGATAAAACACATTTTTCGAATCTGCAGGAAGACCCACTGGGATTTTTACATGCCTTTATGAGTACATCAGCCAAGCGATCACATGCCATTACCAGATCAATGTCTAGGTTGGGAGAAGGTATGACTGGGTCTCTTCCAGTCTTCTCTGCCTTGAATTTCTGTTCGGTATATTCCCCTGCTTCATAAGTGACAGTCAGGGCCCAAGTGCGCCAGATGTTTATGCTATCAGGAGTGGAAGAGATGTTCATGCTGGATGTTGATCTTGGGAAATCAGATGCTGAATGCTGGATGTCCAGACTTTGGTGTTAAAGGGGGTGGAGATAGTGAGGATCAGATAAGGGAGCCTTGGATATTTTTGGCTGTCAAAGATGTATTATCATCCATTGCTCAATGAAATACTACCTGATTGGAAGTGTGCTGGATATCAGATATTCATTTGTCAACTCCCAGGTCCTGGGCCCCAGAACTCGGAACTCAGTATGGTTGACTCAAATTTTGGTGGTCAGAACTTGGCTTCTCATATGGCAACACAAGCCTCACACCCCGGATTCCACATTCTGCAAGACAACCTGTGCACCATCAAAGGCCATGTCAAGAGATCACCTGCTGCTCCAGGAACTCGGTAACTTTGATTTATTACCTCCCCTGATTTGGTTGATGTACAACTACCTCAGCTCCGTCATGTCTACAATTATGATACACATGGGCCCACCCGTCTAATACAATATCCCATACAACACCCTCAGCCCACCTGTCTAATGAAATATTGTATAAAACACTCTCGGCCCACCCATCTAATACAATATTTTATAATACCCTCGGCCCACCCGTCTAATTTAATATGTGTCTGGGCCCACCTGTGAATGTGATAACAAGTACCTACCCATCTATCTCATACACATCTACCTTAATACACCCATCTGCATAATATCCAACTACCTCGGCCCACCCGTCTACTGAATATTCATGTACATCGGCCCACTCATCTACTCTATATATTCCCTGCATGGGCCCACCCACCTCCATTGGGAATAATTTCCCTCCTGGCCCATCCGTCATAGTCGAGGATATTTTTATCATGGGCCCATGATCCACTGGCCCATATCATACGGGATATTATGCACGTCTGTTCCCTCGTATTATATGGAGATAGGTCACTGTAATATGTGGTGACAATTCCAAAGCTGCCCGCCATCATTGCGCCTCCTGTTAGTACTAGTGTGCCTGTCGTAGATGGCTAGTGGCTGCCGACACACCCGCCATTCTACTCACCACATGCAGTTGGCATGCTATGTTCATGCTCCGATCAAAATGGACCATATCATGGCCACTCAGTGCTCATCGCCCATCCTGCCTCATCTCTCCCGCCCATCTTTCCTCCTCGCCCAACTTGTCTTTTACCCGCCCTCACCCACATATTCTTCTCTCACTCCCTCTGCACTCCTTATAATGTCCATTGCCATGTCTTCCCTGCAACAGGCAGATGTCACATTCCTGGCCAAATTGGCTCTGCATGAATCTGCAGTTGGCCTTGTCACCGATTGCACGAATTGTGGGGGTACAGTTCCAATCACCATATGTCGGAGCAATGTGAATGGGAACTCAGGGAAGCCAATGGCCAGGGTGCGTTATCCGCATGAGTTATTGATCCTCATTAACCTTTCTTGCCAGTATCAATCATGTTCCTTCTTCCACTGGTTCCCTCAAATTCTATCACATCCAGACATCATGGCCCTCCTCCCATCATCAAGTCATTCCCCGAGTCTTACCAGTTCTCAGCCAGCACCTTCTATCTTTATGAGCGGCACTAGTGCTGCTTCCGCCACTCATTTCCCTTCAACACAACCTCTTGCCTCAACTGGCAATGGCAAGAAGTCACGCAAGCGAGGCATCAAATGCAACAGTGCCTTTTGCCAACGAGCGAGTGCGCTGCATTGCCCGCATGCAAAGTGCCTCACCCATTGTATCGAGGAGGTGGGAGGATGTCCAGTGCATCTCACTGAGACAGATAACCAGCAGCAGCACCCTATCGTGCAGCAGGAGTGGAATTGGGACTATGATCAGGAGGATACTCTTATGCTTCCTGCTGAGGATACTCTTGCGCTCCTTGCTGAGCCCTACTGGCATGATGATGGAGTTCAGACGAACGACAGGCTGAGAGCACTTCAACATGCACTTCAGTCTGTTGGCGCTGGATGGCCTGCTGTGTTCCCATTATTTCATGATATTTTGATAGCTCCTACACCATCACAACCACCCGCGCCAACAACACAACCACCTGCGCCATCGCAACCACCCACACCATCGCAACCACCCACACTATTGCAACCACCCGCGCCATCCCAGCAGTCTCATCTGCCCCCTCTGTTGCAAATCACCCATCTGCCAATACACTCTCAGCATGGTGACACCTTAGCTCCACATGCCTTCCCAGTTCATAAGCTGTTGAAGCCTCCGCATATAACCAATCAACTTGACCCAATGTGGACAGGTGACCTCAATGTGCGTGCGTGAGAGGGAATTGAGAGCAAGAGGATGTCAGAACGTCGCAAGGAGATGGAACGAGCTTCCAGGCAGCGCTTTGTCTTGTACTGGTTTGATGCTGTGAGTCACTATTTGGTTTCCCTTTTGTTGCAATACTTACTACTGATGTGTAGGACAACACACCAGTGTCAATGCAGTGGGCTGTTCACTGCCCATACTTCCCACAATATCAGCTCTCAGATGATCCCGCCCTTGTCAACTCCCTTGGCAGCAACATTGAAAAAATTGATGTTTTTGAGGAAAGCTTCATGCGTTGTATTCCATCAATGCCACCCAGGCTGCCACATCTTCATACGACGTCATGGTGTCACCGAGTGCAGCGGCTTTGATGAGTTATTTAATTCTTCCAAACTGCTGACTTGCCCTTCTCACATGCACTTCAACATGAAGGGTAAGCGTGATAGCATACACAAGAAGATGAAGCAACAACAGACATCCACCCCGGCTTCATCATCGGACGTCGAGATTCTTGATGACAACACACAACTTACACCTGAGCTCAAGAAGACAAAGTGACAACAGGCATCCATCGCTGCTTCATCGTCGGACATCGAGATTCTGGATAATGAGACGCAACTTACACCCAAGGTGTCCTTGGGAAAGCACCGCTGGGCTCAAAGCCCTGGCCAAGAGCAAGAGATGCACACCACTACATGAGTGCAACTGGCACAAGATGGCTTTGATACCCACTCGATGTCACCGACACCACCACTATCCCCCATTCAACCACCAGAGGATGACTTCAATTCCTGTTGCGCTACTTCAATGTCACCAACACCACTGCTTGCGACATCGTCATTCTCCTCATCCGTTGAGTCTGCACCTTTGACATCTGCATCAGTTGCAGTTGAGGACATTTGGCGACCAGTGCCATCTTTGGAAACTCACCAGTCAGCTCAGGCTGCTCTGTCCATCATTCTTGTACATGTTCCGATATACGATCGTGCCAATCCACGACGAGTCTGGCCACAGGGAATGTACACAGTTGATATGGTTGTTGGCTTTCAGCAGATGGACATCCCAAAGTTCCGTAACTATGGTCAGGAGCATCTTTTTCATCTCATCTTTGGGGATACTCCGTTTGTTAAGGCCACATATCATGAAAATCGCAAGGCATGGCGCGAGACACCACTGACCATCCTCGAGACACACAAGAATAGCAGGCACACTCAAGATGGCCTTTGGTCGAACTGTCTTGCCACATGCCGCATTGCCTTGGGTCTGGAGAGCAAGAAACATAGCTGGCGGAAGTAGTGTCAAAGTATTGTCCCTCGGTTTGTTCTATACTTGTTTTATGTAGTGCCTACTAACCATTGCTTTGTCCGAACCCCACTGGCCATCACACTCCAGATTCCCCGCAGTTCAGGCAGTTGAAGAATTTCTTCAAGGGCGTTTCTGTCATGCTCGTCCTCCAAACATCATCGGCATTCAAGTTGGATAGCAGGAGGGAAATGAAGAACCCTTGTACTGTTATCCAACTTGAATGCCGATGATGTTCGGATAGTTTAGTGGGCGAAGGATCAAGCGCCTTCAAAACCACACTGATCCAAAATTGTTTATGAACCCAGGGTAAACAATTTTGTATCAGTGTGGTTTTGAAGGCACTTGAAGATGATGTTTGGATAGTTTAGTGGGTCCTCCTTCATCTCATCGCCCACTAATCTATCCAAACATCATCTTCCTATCCGAACATCATCGGCATTCAAGAGCTAGCTACACCTATACTGCAGGGTATTGAGTAGGAATTAGTCGGAGCTTGGTCCTATGTGATTCAAAATTTAAATTATATGCCGCTGCATCTACGCATGTGATGCTGGTATCATGGTGTGACACTGTGACAGATCTGGGCTGATACAGTTTTCAGATACATAATCAAACAGTCGAATAGATACAAGTCCAGTAAAATTAAGAACACTGAAATTACAAAGGACTATAGAGAGGCTACTATTATACCAATGATTGTCAATCCTGGTCTTGCCTAAAGTTTAGACCCTTTGCAAGCACAAAGATTGATATCAATGTGAAAATGCTGCCTCAATGAGCCTCATTGCTACAGACTGAGAAAAATTGGCACATGTTTGCGGACTGTAGCTTGTATGTCTGAGGCAACATTGAACCTTGAAGCTTGATCTATGATTACCAGTTCATACCCATTTCCTGTCATAAAATGTCTCACCAAAATGGGCAGGTTTGGCATATAGGTCAATTGTAGTGCCATTGCACAACTCAGGACAAGTTTTGGACTCCATATATTGCTGAGCAAGCTCAGCATCCTATGAATCAGGATGCGGAAAACCAACAGAATTGTCATGCTGGTCAAGCAGTGCAATCATGTCATGATTAGTGCAATTCACAACTGACCCAGCACTTATACCTGCCCATTGGACCACATCCTGAAGAGAAATCATATTGCCATAGTGGCCAGCACGATTGAGGAAGATAGCAAGCTGGATGGAAACTGGAAGCTGAGGATTGTTAGATTGATTATGAAAAATATGATGATCAGAAATCTGATCAAGAGTGTCATCAAATATGATGGAGTCAACACGTAGCTTCTGCCAAAATGAATCGGAGTGATGTTCCTCATGATGAATAAGGATATGCCTGCCCTACGACCACGACTTCGACAGTCTGCATGCCTGCAGACCCTCTCTCAGAACATTGATGTATTGTGTTGCAAGAACAACAGGAAACAGATGGACCCACCATCTTCTGGAACTCGTGGAGGGGGAGGGGCTAATATGCAAGACTCGTCACCAGCCATGATTTCGTGGCACAACATCCCTATGCATGCCGACCTAAGCCACACTTATGTCAACATTTCTTTGAATTCTTGCCCAAAGTTAGCCGACATTCTATGGAGCTTACTGAGCTTAGCGAGTTTTCAGGAAAACACTTTGAACGCCACTAATATATCATATTAAAACACCCCCACACAATGGGAGTCTTGGAAGGCCACTAGTAGGATAGATTGGATGATGAATGATAAATATTGAGATATCCATGCACAGTAGGAGTCCTGGAAGGTCACTATGGTGACAGAGTAGTGAAGAAATATCTGATATATATAATAGTATATTTTAGAAATGCATGCATACAGATAGTAGTAGGATATGAGATCAGTGATGGATATGAATGTGCTATGAATGTGCTCCTACATAGTGGGAGTCCTGGAGGGCCACTTGTATGACAGAGTATATAGTGAGTAATAAATATTGGGACACTCCTACATAGTGGGAGTCCTGGAAGGCCACTAGTATGAAGATATGTATGATAGGTAGTGAATATTGAGATATCCTTATATAGATGAAGTGTATGATGAATAATACAAATTCGGACCCTCTCATATAGTAGGAGTCCTAGAGGGCTACTAGTATTATGAAGTGTATGGTTAGAAAATAAAGATGGAGATACCCTCACACACAGTGGGAGTCTTGGAAGGCCACTGGTATAGTGTAAGATGTGATAGATAATAAATATTCAGACACTCTCACACAATGGGAGTCCTAGAGGGCCACCATGGTAATAGGATATGGAATAAAAAATAATGATCAGTACTCTCTCACATAGTGGGAGTCTTGGAAGGCTACTATAATAGTAGAATATGAGATGAGTATTGAATATGAATGCACTCCTGCATGGTGGGAGTCCTGGAAGGCCATAGCACAATAGTGTGTATGATAGATAATGAATATTGAGACACCTTCATACAGTGGGATGATGGAATATATACAGACAATTCAAATTATCACACTATCATATCATATGGAGAATCATTAATGACAGGATATATTTAATATTGCAAATAGTGAGAGACATGCAAGGCCACTTGTATGACACACAATATGATGGATAATGAATATTGACACATCCTCACACCATGGGAGTCCTAGAAGGCCACTATGGTGATAGGATGGAGGTCCAATAAATAATATAGATACATAAAACTATATATATAGATAGTGTTAGTATGTACGTGAGATGAATGATGGATATAAAGATCCTCCTATATCATGGGAGTCCTAGAGGGCCATTAGTATGTCAGAGTAGATGATGATATGGACACTGCCACACAGTGGGAGTCTGGGAAGGCCACTATGCTGATAGAGTGAATAATGGACAATAAATATTGAGACACTGCTACACAGTGGGAGTCTTGGAAGGCCACTGGTATGATAGATTGTATGATGTATGATGAATATTAGGAGATCCCTACACAGTGGGAGTCCTGGAAGGTCACTATGGTGATAGAGTGATAAAGAAATATCTGATATAGCATGCAGATACAGATGGTAGTAGAATATAAGATGAATAATGAATAGTAATGTTCCCTTTCATAGTGGAAGTCCTGGAAGGCCACTTGTATGTTGAAACATAATATGATGAATGATGATGTAGATACTCCTACACAGTGGGAGTCCTGGAAGGCCACTATAGTAGTAGGTCATGACATGAGTAATCAATGTGAATACCTTCCCACACAGTGGGAGTCCCAGAGGGCCACATAAAATGTATGGAATGATAAACAAAGGCAAAAAAGTGAATCCTAGCGGATCCTAGGGGGCCCCATAACCCTAATACTCCCACCCTTATCTCCTCCTTATCCCCCTCACATTTCCACCCTTACACTTCCTTATCTTACTCACACCCTCCACTTCTTACCCTTTTTACTATACTTTACCCTTCCTTATCCTTACCCTTCACTTATCCTTTTTACCACACTTTACGCTTCCTTATCCTTATCTTTCCCCTTACCCTCTCACTACACTTTACTCCCTCCTTACCCTTCCTCGCCCCCTCTTCACTTCTCACTCCTTCCCTCACCCCTTCCCTATACTTCTCCTTTTCTCATCCTCCCACTCACACTTTCCTATCGCCTATACTCTCCTTTTTCCCTCTCTCACTTCCTTCCTCATATCATCTTTTTTGCCCCTTCACTTGACTTTTCCCTTTTTTCTCCCTTTCTTTCTTCACATCTTTCCTTCATCTCTCCCTCGTCTTTTCCCTTGACTTTCCCTTCACCGTCCCCTTCATATTTCCATGTCCTGGCCTTGCTTTTCCCTGTCTCTTCACTTTTCACTCTCCCCTTTTCCCTCAAAACCATCCATGATTTTCCCTCATTTCTTCCCTAGCTCCCTCAAATCTTGCCCTCCTGACTTTCCCTTGCTACCCCCCACCATCCCACCGTCTTTCTCTATGTTTTTCATTTTCACCATTTTTTCCTCATATTGTTATTTTCCCACCCTCTATGCTGCGCCACCATGTTTTTTGTTGCTGTCGTGTCGGTCGGTTCTTGACTTTCCTCCCGCTCCCCTTACCCTTGTCTTGACTTGACTTTCCATTCCATCGTATCTTATCATCTTATCATCTTTCTCCCCTTTTCTCCCTTCCACTGGTCTTTCTCCTTCCTTTCATTCTCCTTTCTTTTGCTGCCCTTCCTGGATTTTATCTCCCTTCATCCTTCAACTTTCTTCTCTATTCCCTCTCCGATCCCTTCCCTTCCTTGACTTTTCCATTTTCCTGATCTCTCATCTCGGGTTCTCCCTCGTGTGTTCACATGGGGGTTTCTTCTTCGCTTTGACTTTGACTGTCATCTTCCATCTGTCTCGCTCGCTTTGTCCCTCACTCTTGTTTTCCCTTTTTTTTATATCTGCCCTTTGACTTGAGTCTTTTCCCTGTGTCCCTTTATCGTATCGTATCGTCTCTTTTCATTTTCGCTTTTTCCTGCTTTCTAGCTCTCTCTATCCACGTCTTTATTTCACCTTTGCTTTCCCTTTTCGCTTTTTTCATTCCTTCATTATCTTATCTCTGGACTCCTCCATTCCCCTCTCTTTGACTTTCACTTTCACTTTGACGTTTGGTTCATCGTTCCATCTCTTCGCTTTCAATTTCACTGTTTCCTTTGCCTCTCTCATTCTTCGATTTTCATCTCTCTCCACTTTGACTTTTGTTTGGTTCCTTGATCTACGACTCTCTTTGACTTTTGGTTCATCGATCGTCACATCTCTTGGCTTTCCCTTGGACTGTTCGCTTTTTGGTTCTCTTGACTTTGACTTGACTTGACTTCCCTTCGCATTCTTTGATTATCGTATCTCTCCGCTTTCGCTTTCGCTTTCCTTCCTCTGATGCATCTCTTGACTTTCACTCGACTGGGGCCTCGACTATCCTCTTTGTATTCTTATATCCTGACCTTCGTTCTCCAATCGTCTTCCCTTGAACTCTGTACTTTTCTCACAACCATCCATGTTTCATGCTGATTCCGACTGTAGCTCGCTCAATATCGTCGCATTCCTGACTTTTCCTTGGTACCCCCATGATCACACCATCTTTCTTGATGATGTTCAGTGTTGCCACTTTTGTTAAAGTGGTACCCTGTGGACTTTGGCTGACATGCCATCACCTTTGGGCAGCCCGGCATGGGTTTTGCTGAGGGCGCGCACAAATTGTGTGTCAGCCCTAGGTTGATGAGAGAGGGCGACCACTTTGACCTTGACTTAAGGACAGTTCCCATGGTCGGGTCAAGGTGAGGACGACTCATCCTCCAAGGATCATAATACATTAGCTGTACAGCAGGTCGCGTCACATCGGAACTCGGCTCTCGATGTGCACTAATTTTTATAATGCACTATGACTCACCTTTGTCATAGAGGACGACTCCCCACATTCCTGTCTTGGTCAAGTGGCCTTTGATATCCCCAAGTCGTATGCGCAGATCTGCATGCTCCTCTGCCTCCTCCTTCGTTATACTCTCCTCTCCCTCCAGATGCGTAAGTCGCGCTTGAAGCTCTTCTGCTTCGTCCGAGAATCTCTTTGTGTATTTCTTCAATGCAGCGACACGATGCTGACCTGATGCGAAGATAAGTGGCTCCTGATCTCTGAATTTCACTTCCTTTAACGTCGTGGAGTCTGTCCAGCTGCCCTCTAATGTTTGCCCAGGCGAAATGCGTGATCTCTCGATGACGATGGGAAGTGCGTTCGTCTGCGTCCCCCACTGAATTCCGTTCTTCTCGAACGACGCGATCATTTTGTTGACGTGCGTATTGTTCTTCAGCCGGTCGTTGTACGTTCCGAACTTCAGCATATTCGCGATTGTGAGTATATTAATCTTCCCCATTCCAATCTTTGCAGCTGCAACAGCCGCATCGCAGTCGTTCGTTTTCGAGCGCGACGTCATCCTTCGTCAACGTTGCCTGAACCGGTCGGGTATTCAGTTTAAACGTGTTGCTAGTCGACGCAACCTTCGTGTATATCGTACGTTATTTTCCTCACAAAGCATTACATTCACTCACGTCGTCGTCGTCCTTGGTAGCTTTCTTCTTGCCTTTGCGTGGCGCCATCTTGGTTGTGTTCAAGGTTCGTTTTCATCTTATCATCTTATCGATCATTACTTATCCTCATCGATTACATATCCTCTCTGCCCTGAACCCTCGACAGCCTCATGGTCTTATGCACCGCGGGCTTTCACAATGTTAAGTATTTTCTCGTTCATATATATTATAGTCTATATATAAATATATCATTCTAATATTAGCAATATACATATTGTAAGAGCGGTATATATATATATCTATATATATTAATATATCAAATCAAATTAGACTTAAACTACCATTAAAGTACAAGGAAAGAGTAAGGAGAAACACGCTAATTTGGCCAAGAAGATGCATTTCATGTGAAAGGATGTAGAATTATACTTGCGTAACACTCATAATTAATGTATTATTTGTAGTGTTTTCTTGGTGCTGTCCGTCTCTCCTGGGACTGCCATTTCAAATATCACGTGATACTTGCCAATTGCAAGTCATACCGCTCTTACACTCTTTCCTTGTACTTTAATGGTAGTTTAATTCTAATTTTATTTGATATATCAATATATATACATATATATATATAGACCGTTCTGGACTCGGATCTTTTAGCGCATCCAGACACGGTTTTCGATGCGCATCCAGACATCATGATTCTTATCTATATATATGTGGTTATGTGCCACATCCAGAACCGAGTCTGGATGTGCACGTATGTTGATACCTAGTTGGCTGTTGGTATACATACCCGTACTGTTATTATCACTTATTTTATATAATGTTTGCTACTGATATCTTATTATATGGCCTTTGAATTGTAAAAACATACGGTTACATATGGTATATAACTTTGAAAATGGGTTCCCAACCGGTACCTAAACCCAACCTACTTACAAAATACCCTTATAAATTTGAGGTACAATTGTGATATATATTGTATGAATTTTACTTTAAATAAACCTTTCTAACACTTTACCATTTTCGCGTCGCTTTCCTGATGAACTATATAGCCAAAGTCACCGCTACTACAGGAGTCAGCTGGAGAAATATTTGCTACAGGTCACTCCAGGCAGCTACAGCGCTCGTGTGATATTAACCTGTCTACAAACTACTTATGACAGACACACCAAACATCTTGCCGTCAATATTTGAACTCGTTAAAATAAAAATCACTTGCCACCTTGCGGTGGAGTTGGCGTGTCGAGCGAGGACTTGTTGCAATCGAAAGGAAGGTGCTCTAACTTGCCACCATTTTGGACTCATTGAACCGTGTGATAATTGACTTGATGGAATTTTCGCAATATTGTCATATTGCATTGGTATATATTTCTATTATTGTAAGAATATACAAGTAGTCTTGTAGCCTAGTTGTAAAAATGATGCACTTATAATTGTTCAAGGTGTCGGGTTCAATTCCTACCAATTGTACATTATAACGTGTGAAAATGATCTGATGTGAGCACTGGTGACATTTCTTTTGGCCTCGTAACTATCAGGTCCTACTAGTGTTAGTAGCCTGTAGCCTCCTGTAGCTTGCTATGACGAGCTACCAGTGACTCTCATAGCGAGCCGTGTGGCTATATAGCCACATGTAGAAGGGACTTGACAAATGGGACTACAGGTACTACAGCGACTATATAGCCACCTGTAGTCAAATGGTATTTTCCTGATGTTCGGTCTCCCTTGCGTCATCGATCTTACTGCTGCGAGTGCATCTCCCTATGAATCTTCACTGTTTTCGCTCACTTGCATTCCTGGCAGATCAATCCCGAATGTGGCGATGCAGGAGCTCAATGCGCTCAGTTACACTAGACCTTTGAACAACCAGCAAGTCTGAAGGAATTGTTCAGTCGACGATCAGTTTGAATTGATGCGGACAGTAACTTTTGATCAAAGTATTATCCAGAGATTGAATGTGAAGAAATCGAAGAAGGATACACGTCGAACGAACAAGTTGTCATAGGACTTTCGAGGCATGCATCTCCTTCATCGCATTTCCGAGCTTCCCACCAAAATGGCTGAGAATATCCTACTGCCACATGTTGTATTTGGCGTTGACTCTGGCTTGGAGTTACTCGTAAGCCGCGACACAGACACAAACACTTAGTTGAGTTTCTGATGTGTCGAATGTTGACCGTGTCGTATCGAGAACCAGATAACGCCTATTCAAATCAGTAAGTATCTGAACAATTGGAGATACCGTATCATACATACCCAACCAGTCATGCAATTGTTTCATCCAAGTTGCATGTACATATTCTATAGGTGGATCAAGGAAGATCACCGGGTTCTGCATTTAAATCTCGTGAACGATGGGTTTTACAGTCATGCTGCCCTCGGTGACCTACAAAGATGGGTCAGTACTGGTGTTGCGAATAACAACACACCATACCCTGTCCTCCTTCCTGCCTTTGCCAGCTCGCCGCTTGTTGGTGACGTCCCGCAAAGGCATTAGATCTCAGCGTGCATCACCATCATCTGTCAGATTAAACTAAGAACACCACACTTGGATAATATAGCCAGACCGCTGAAGTGAGATCCCTTCTATCCGCTTATCAAGGTTAGCCACCCAGCGTTCAAGATTAGCATATCCCTCCAGATTCAGGTGATCAATCTGCATGTGTTCAGCCTCCTAAACATGGAATTAGTATCTGACAGTAATAATTCTAAACAAGAGCGTACCCTAACTCAGGGCCAGGGCTGCTTCTGTGATGCAGTGGTCATGCGCCAAGTACGGTTTGTTTCCAAACAGACCGAGATGCTTGTAGACGTTGTGCCACAATCATGCGACGCCGCCATTTGAACACATAACTTGGCTGACGGCAGGGAGCATGGAGTAAATGATGCGAGCAACAACTTCAACATTCACGGCTCCGAGCTCGCACGAGCCCACGGTCAAATTTTTCAGGGAAGTATGTTGGGATGACTCGACTTCAGGCTCGATATCGATATTCTGAGCGTCGAGTGATACTTGCAGGTCTTGCAAATGCAGACATAGACGAAGCGCCGCGAACAACCCGCGAAATGTAAGGGTAGCTGGATAAGGATACCAGTTCACCAATGATAGGGAGTGAATATGCGGCCAAGTTGCCATGGCCTCAAAAAGAAGGTCATCGTCGTGGTAGATGTGAACAGCCTCGGCGTTCGGAAATGTTGATGTTTTCAAGGGTCTGGGATGCTTTGCACAGTGACAGTGCACGGAAAAGCTGTTCAGCCTCTGCCCAAGGTAAAACACGGACATGCATATCGAACTCCTTTAGCAAAAGGAATTTAAAATGTTGTATGATTGCAACAGTATCGGTAAACTCCCCCACATCAGGACAGCGTGCCCCAATCTAATTGGAGTTCTGATTATCACATAACAACGGCACAACATTGGGGCAGGAAAAAGCGCAAGTCTCCTATTTCCGTGCGTTGAACCAACCAGGATAACAACATCAAATTCGGAAATACACATGTCTCGATGGGGAGGGCCGTAACTTGAAGAAGGTGAAAATAATTGCTGGCTGATATAGTTATATTGCGCACACGAGCGGAATGGCAATGGAACTCATGCTCGGCTAATGGGTCAGCGTACTGGGACCAGGAATACTGTATTTAGAGGCTCAATCAGCGAACGAACGAACGAACACAGAACAATAAGCTTGCTTTCGATACTCCGCACTGACCTTGGACTTGGGATCATATATCACTGAATGTAGCCTCGTCACACAGCCTAACAGTGTCTCAACCCAGGCATGTTAGAGTAAAGCAAATCCATCGCAAGCTGGTGAAAGGTTGCATGTCAAGGCGAGCAATGCAGGGGATTCTCGTGTCAGTGATTGAGGCGAGCCTGCCAGTCTGAACTCTCAAATTAATATGAGAAGGTGACTAAGCGTGAAATGACCAAAAAATAGCCGAAGGAATGGCGTCGAAATAGGAGTAAGCGACAAAGACTCCTAAATTCACCACTTCCAAAATCTATCAATCTCAAAGACACAGCGACATGGAAAGATTCAATGGCGACTTAGACTTACTTTGCGCAGAACTGTACACTATCATACTCGACGAATTGACACTCCCAGACCTGCAAGCATTGGCCAAAACCAGAGTCCAAAACAATGAAGGGGTGAAAGAGTACTTGGAGAAGCGTCGCAACAATGTACTTGGAACATTTGTGGAAGACGTCGACGGCTTGCTTGCCCTCTTAGAGCGGACAGGAACAGTTATCTCAGGCTCAAGCGCACTGCATCTAGTACAAGCCAAAGCAAGATCAGTGGGTTTACGGGACATGGACATATATGCCACGCTGGAGTTTGAAGATGAAGTAATGAATCACTTCAAAGCTGCAGAAGGATACAAAGTCACATCAAAAGGAGGACGAAAGCAAGGGTACGACACATCAGCGGTCCAAAAGGTATGCGAGTTGGATAAGGAAGGAAAGAAGGTAGACATCATCATCACTGACTGGCCGAATGTCATCATGCCGGTCCTACAATATCACTCAACAGCCGTCATGAACTACATCACAGCGCATTCACTCGTCTGTCTCTACCCCCAGTGGACCAAGGAGAAAAAGAGTTTAGTGAACCCTCGCATGTATTTGGAGGACGGCACCAATGTGCGAGGTGTGATGGCATTGATGAAGTACGTACGCCGTGGTTTCCAGGTGACTACGGAGCCATTCGAATTGGGAACGCATGACTGTCAACAGAGTGCGTATTGTCCCCACACCATGAGGAACACCATGGACGGTGATACTCTGCACTGGGACTTCAAGCGAGTCAACACTGTGGGAGATATCCCAGTGACATGCGATGAGATAATATGGCGCCTTGGAGGAAATGAGTGCAAAGAAGGGAGAGACGAGATAAATTCTCCCTTCATTAGCATGAGAGGCTACTATTAAAGGATAAATGTGTCAATGACAAATGTTCCCGCTACCGTGAGGGAGTGGGTCTTGTCAACTTTGATTTTCACGTTTTTGCGGTAGATCTGTCCGATTCTGAGCACCCTTTCTTTTTGCCTTTAAGTAACAGTCGTTTTCGCCTTATGTGGTACCCTCGCCTCCAGATAGTAACTGGCTGTGCTCATCGATCGCTCCAGCCCTTTTTCGGGCCTTACATGGTAAGTTGTGCTTATATGATCGATACTTTCGTCCATTTACGGCATTTTTCGTCCTGGTACGAAAACTGCCATACATCATACCACCAGTGCTTGCATGCATCTTTGGATGCGGCGTTGCTTCTCCATCATTGTCAACACCGAGCAGCTATACGCGGTACGAAACACTGGATGACCAATGTTATACTGCTAATGATGTCATAGGTACCCAAGGCCATGCAGCAGGCCATGCAGGGAAAGCGCGCAAGAGTGACGAAAAAAGCGATCAGCAAGACAGACAGTACTCCAGATAACAAAGGTGTTGGAGGTTCCTCATCGGCGGAGACAGTGACGACGAAGGAACACACGCATGACGCAGCAGTCACAACGAACACATTTTATGAGCCAAACGTTTTGCCTGATTATGGAGGAGAGCTGTACCAGCACGTTAACGCTAAACTCCGTTAGCTCGATATTAGGGACGTAGCTAACAAGCTCATCGCACCTTAAGACTGGTACTCTAGCCTCAGGCGTGGAACCCTTGTCATGGTGAGAGCAACTTTGCACGCATTCAATTGGAAAGAGCGTCGGGTAAGCATAAGTGCTTCACAATATCAGACAATCAGCGACTAATTGGCCAAACAGGTCTATCAGTTGAACGCACACACTGTTCGCGTGATGGACCCGTCCAAGTTGGACATGGAGCCATTGAGTTCGCAAGCCAGTGGATCCGAATATGACACAGGAGCATCAAGCTCTAAGTTGCGTGCATCAGATGCCATGGCTGGAGTGCAATTGGGAAAAAGAGCGAGAGAGGAATGAAGAACGACGCATGCCGATGGCACTCGGGATGGTATGAAAAGCGATGACAGTTTTTGACAGTGAATACTTGTATGATATATGTGAGACTGAATGTATTTTGAACGAACCGCTAGAATGTGTGGACATAAGCCAAACTGTGAAAGGAAAGAGTAAACCATTACGTGAGCCTACGGCAGTTTTCGTTCCAGGTCGAAAAATGACGTGTTGGGACATAAGCATGGTTACATAATCTGAGATTTGGCAGGTAAAATGGGAAAGACAAAGAAAAATAGGTAAGGTAGCGGGTTTTGCCACTTTAGCTGGCGCTATCACTTATATAACAAATGTGACTCAACTACTTTTGTATAATCGATCACGGACAGGGTACACTGCAATTGAAGTACCGGCAGAATGACTCCACCGTATTGAATTCTCCAATGACAGTCAGACCAGCTTCATAGTCTTCCGTCTCAGGTGGAGCGGAAAGGAAGGGTGTGCCGCCCTCTTCAGTAGCTGCCTTTTGATGAGCGAAGGGTGCTTTGGATTTCGTGTCATGGTAGATAGTCCTGCACATGTAATTAGACGATAGCGCAGTAGACAAATAATAAAAATATTCAACAAGGAAACTATAACAGATGCTCTGGTGCTTCTGAGGGGGCTACACGAGGTATTCGTCAGCGGTCGAGATGAAGATCAGCGGAAGTCAGACTTACAGAGAAATAATAGATATCGTTGGCTTCTGTCAAGATTGTTTTCTCGCTGTTCTGCATATGGCTTGCGTTGGTGCTAGCAATTTCGGAGTAGATGAGAGTCGCTCACATTGATATGGACGGAGGTCGCAGCGCTGATGACCTTCCCACTCTCGACCTGGGCTCTGGAGAAAGCAAGCCTATACAATATATAAGCGACTTCCAAGACTATTGATCTTGTCGATCATGTTACTGGGCCGTGTAGGTCGCGGTAGCCCAGTATGAACCTGGAAAGAGGGCTCATATGGAAGTCGGCAACTTGGCAGCAAGAGAATAGCAACACCCACCCGACTTCCCGAATTTGCTGACCCTGAAACAATTGCAATATTCCCTAACAGAAGTAGACGCACTTACTTCCAAACTATCGGGAAGAAGTCCTCGTAGAGGCCGTCCAGGTTGGGACTTAGGCGAGCATGATTGTGACCTCCCTGCCGAGGTCGTTGCTACGAAACGTTGGGTGAAATTTTTGTGCAAAGCGAGATCACGGACACTCACGACTGGAAGGTCAAATTCCTGACGAAGGGTCGGGGTGACATTGTTTCGGATTGTTAAAACACAAAGTGTACTAAAGTTGAGATTGAGTGTGGATCGAAGAGCTCGAATAGAGCCTCAGCAAGCAGGCTTTTATCTTGATGTTCTCGAGGTGGGCAGGTCTTACTGCTAGTCTTCGTTGGAGAGCACCCTCGTCGGTGTAGTCGGGTGCCCATTCAGATACCGCATTATTCTAACCGTGATAAGTGAGAACACGTGTGGGCTCGAAATAGTATGACATGGCAGTCACATGAAACACTGTACGATGCAGTGGAAACAACATAAGCATCAGCTTCGGTGGCGACGGTTTTTGAATCTTGATGGGCCATCAGGCCTGAAGTTGGATGCAAAGAGTGCTATGGCAGGTGTACCACCCTAGTGGAAATGAATGCCATTAGAGGAAGTTGTGAACGGGCAACGAGGAGAGGAAAGACTCACCCAGGTCTTCTTCAACACGTCCGGAACAAGGTACGTTTCTCCAGCGTGATGGAACGATGCTACTGGGAACTCGAACTCATTCGTAAGCTGTTTACGCCCATACATTAAATGCGCATATAAATTAAAAAAGAATTATTCTAAGAAGATTTGAACGCACACGGACGATTCCGTCGAGATCAACTGCCTCATAGCAGTGCACGGAAAGCCTCACACGTCCTCGGAGCACATCGACAAGGGATTCCCATTGCAGATCTTCAGGAAATGCATTTCCCGCGAGATCGTCCCAGGAGTTAGACTCTGCTTTGGCGCAGAAATCGTCTTGAGCGTCACGCAGCTTTCGGGCACTGTCGTAGGCGGCGCGGAAGTTCCACCCAGAGTCGAGACGCGTCATGCCATAGACACGAGAGGGGTTTTCACCTTACGGGTAAGTGAGCGAGGATAATAACGAGGCGTCTTCTGGGACATACCACATGCATGTCTGTCAGGTGTTATCAAAAGTGAGAAGGTAAATAAGAGAATATCGAGCGAGTGAGATAACAGACTTCATGTGTCGCCAGCAGGGTGTGAGAGAGTGATCAAAGTGAGAGCCATTGAGGGTGTAGGGAGGTTCGAGGAGCATGGAAGAAGGCGAACGTTCGGCTGTAGGACGAAGCTTCATTATGAACGCTTGACCACCTAGTAGACAAGGTTTATGATCAGCAATTAGACAATGTGTTCATTGAGACAACTCTGACCGATATCATTTGCGCTCCCAGGGAGAATTTGCGCGGTTGTGACGCCTCCAGCTATGGCAAGTTCGTATGATGCGTCATGGGTGTTCAACCCGTCGATACTGCGCAACCAGGGTAAGATGGGGGCCTTGCGAGAGTTTGTGTCGCGTGCACCTGCAAAAAATGGTATCTTATAGCTATTATATAGAGTAGCAAATGAACGCACCGTTTAGCTCGGGCACGCTACCAACACCAATATGGGAATATAAATCTACAATCCCAGGGGTCACCCACGCTCCGTGAACATCGACGACCTCTGATTTCCTGTGTTTTGACTCAACCTGCCGAATCAGGGAAAGAGGAACATCCCCGATGGCTTTGATGAGACCACGGTGGATGAGGAGGTCACCATTGAGAACCTCGTGGCCGTCATTAGCAGCAGTCCATATAGTCTCGTTGCGCACAAGAACGGGAGTCGTGTTCTCGGAATCTGCGTAGCGGTCACTCTGGGTGCGGTGGTGGAAATTGGGTGGAGGCCCGGATTTGGAGCGTATGTAGGCACATTTGGAGAGGATCTGGGAGCGACGGGCAAACTCCTGTGGACTAGATTGAGGAAACACCGAAGAGATAAAGGTCGAGGAATGAAAAGGAACGATGCAGACGAGTGCGATGGTAAACAAGACTAGGTAAGCCCAACGTCGAAAAGGAGGGCGGGTCGCCAACGGTGAGCTACCCATTGCGTTGGACGGTGCCAGGCGAACTTGACTTGAGTCTTGTGACTCTTGTCCGCATCGTAATAAAATATGACGTTCGTGGGGAACATGTCGGCAGTATTGTGGTTATGAACCTATTATTAGTAGCTTCGAACGAACCGAACTTCCGTAGGGGGGCCGCGGATGGAGCTCGGTCCGGTAGTTCGAACCCGTTCGCTGGCACTAATCTTATTCCATTGTTCCCACTAATACCGTAGATTTCATGAACAGTGTGACTACTCAGCGGTGTTAACAATGATATGACTATTACTGGTAGATAAAGCAATAGATGAATGGTTGGACTAATGAATTTTAACGGCTGGACACTTGAATTTCGACGTGGTCCCCCAAAAAAATGGGCGTGACCCAAGAACTGACATAGACGCGGCCACAACGGCAATCAACACTCCATAGTAGCTGGAATGGGGATACTTACTGAAGATGATGGGCTAGTCGATGTCGCGCTCTCCGAAATTCTGTCACTCCCCGTAGAACAGAGACTTGAACTTGATCCTCGAAGAGATGTGAAATTGTTGAGTGCGCGATCCTGAGATTTTTTCCGGCAGGGTGACCCTGAAAGGGCAATTGAGATCGTCCATATATAAAGCCCTTCATGTCAAGCCTTCGAATCTGCAGATGAGGCGAGAAGGCGCACCTTCGTTGCTTATGCAAGGGGAAAGAGACGCTGCGTCAATCATCCTGGCATCGGTAGCGCTGAATCAAAACATTGCAGAAGCAAAGACCACTCTCTGGCATTATCGGCTCTTGCACAACCAATACAATCTCAAAGAAGTGTACAAAAAGCCATCAAGCTGGAACCCGGTCAATCGCGAAACAGACTTTGGCTTATCTTCGAGCACAGGAATCGCTGTAATATCACGTAGGATAATGTACACGTATGTAAAAAGAGGCTCAATACCTGATCATCCGATAATGTACCTGTTGTGTGGATTCCTTTAGAATGTCGAGTGCTGCGATGCCATCCATAGGCAGAGCTCTGCCTTCAGTAGACGGGGCACGTTCGTCGCCGTTTTCCTTGAGCAGCAACCTCTGTAGCGTCGCCGATGAGTATTGGAAGGATTCATTATACAGCCACCTAAAAAAACTTGACCGTCAACACATTAATATTGATCAATTGGATTAGAAGTTGCCTGTACTCCGGGCTGTGTCCCAAATTAGTCCAGGGTAACGTGCAGAATTGTGAAACTGACCTTCTCGAACTCGCGCTCCTGTGTCCACTGCAGGTGCTTCTTCAGGAAGAGAACAACTTCATCGACGTTCCGATTCGAGGTCATGCTGAGAATAATACTCATGGGTTTCTTTCGGACCTCCATATCGGCGCTGACACAATAGGATTCAGTAGTTATTGCCATTTTCAGCTAGTACTAATTGATCAGCGTTCGTACCTCAACAAAACCTGCAAGATAACATCGCCGGTCCATCCAGAGTATGACCATGCTTGAAGCGTAGGCTACCCATGTGATCTAGGACGATTAGCTTAACATTCTTTAATGACCAGATAAACAAAGCATTCAGAGGCAGCCGCTAATTATGAAGGTGAGCAGACATGCGCACAGGATCTGATCGTAAACATACCTTTCACAGCAGTGGGGTCCTGCATGAGCGTTGTAGCAGCTTTATACTTTACTGCATGCAATAAGGAATTCAACAATTCAAACATGCATCTGATATATCGCAGGTGCGAGACGACAAAAATGAGAACAACAAGATGGCCCAAATGAAGAGGACTTACTCAATGTGTCGTGTCGTGCCTACAATCCAACTTGATGACTTCCATTATGCTCATCTGCAAGAGCTCGTCTAGATCCGTCAGTTAATCATACATGCTAATCAACCACTCCACAGTGCACCTAAAACGGCCGGCGGGAACGGCGGATGACCGGTCACCGTCCACAGCATTTGAAACGATTGTTCATCAAAGTCCCAAGAAGCAGCAGTGTAGTCAGAAGTAAAACAAAATGATTGAGAATAGGAGTAACTCTCATGCTCCGTCGTTCTGTCCAAGTCAAAGGGTGTATTCACCGTGACTGGTTAACATTACTTGCGAGTGGTGACGTCCATGTGAATATGAATAATATATTTGGTCATCATATCGCGGCTTGTAACTGCCGGTGAAATCTCAGTTGTCAAAGAAAAGGCTGTAAGCTGTCTGACAATGGGTATGAGGAACTACTAAGTGACGGTCGGAACCACAACGACACGATGTGCCAACGCTAGCATTCTGCTTATGCTCCAACCCATTGTGGTCAGTACTCCAAGTCCCCTTCGCCCATGCAGGGACGGTGGGAGGCAGACACGCACTCGAGTTTACCAGGTGACAGTACTGCATCTTTCATGAGTTCACCTGCCTTGACGTTCTTGATAGCGGGTGAGATGACGTTGGGCTTGACGGAAATCTGTTGCATTGACCTTGGGCGTGCATGTTGTCATTGGGAGCATTCTCTGTGACAGCTGCAACAATAGCTGCCCTCACTTGTTCGGTGACTGGAGAAGATGTGAACGAGGTCCTGGTAGGGCGGGGGTCGAGAGTTGACACGAGAACGTATGCATCCAGGGCGTAAATCTGAAGGCAAAGACCCGTAGTTGCAAATACTGAGAGCGACATTCAGTACAGTACAGTAAACGGGTAAAAAGTACTCACATCGAAAGTGTCAAGCTAGGCTCGCCGGCTCTCTGCTATCATGTCTTCAATTTCATCGCGAAGCACATAGTACTTGTGTAGCGCCATAATTCCCCTCCTGTGATCCCACAATGACACCGAATCCATGGATACAGTCTCAGGATCAGCAAAAAAACGCGGGAGTACGACCAATTGTCTTTGTCGCTGACTCAGAGGGTGTTGAAGAAGGTCAGCGACGCTGCCTTGACAACCCTGTGACCGATGCGGAAGCTGAATAGTTGGAAGACCATGACGTAGCAGATACGGATCCGAAAGGACTTCGGTTTTGACAGCGGGAAATTCGGAATGGCAGCCAGTGATGAAAATAGCGGGGCTCAGGCGTCATCTAGTGATCCAAACACAATGGAGACTAAGAATAACAGTTAGAACCGGAAATATGGTTTTAGAGTAATAATAAGATCAGACCTAGTCTAGCTACTTATCCCGCATTATCATTATTTCGAAGGACTGAGAGAACTGAGACGCCATCTTTTACGGATACGCCATGGCCAAACACACTTGGACATCCCGGGTATCAGGTGTCGGTGTGTGCCGAATGTTACCAAGCGACTGGTAAGGAACATGTGCTGGATCATAGGCATGCGAGGCATGGGGGATGTAGGATGAAAGAGATAGTAGTGAGTCTTGCGCAGATGAAACCTTCGAGGTCCGAGTCTATAGGAATAGTGACATAAGAAGGTTGTCTAGATAGAGATGATAGATAGATGTCTTACCTCAGTTGTGAAGTCTGGGTGCCGGTAGTGATGTTCAAGGAGACTTTGGGAACAGCCAGGTGCGCAAGTATGTGTGCAAAATTGAAGTACAAATTGCATTAGTAGTGGTGATAGTGAAGTGGCGACGCAACTACAAGTTACAACCATGCGCTCTCACTTAGGACGAGCGCGAAAGGCATCGGCCTTTACAGGATGCTTATGAAGCATCCGGGGGCTGCATCCCTCTGAAGATTCAAGAAACAACGACATCAAGTTAAATTCCGTAATCACGTGACTGGCGCATCAGCATAAGAAAACAGGACTTGAAGTCAGACAATCCTCAATAATCCCATTCGTTCATTCATCCCTTACATCATACACTCGAAACCCGAGGCAACCACCGATGGCGAAGACGAGAAGGTGCTTGTCAAAGGTGCGACTGATTCAGAAGACACTAATGCCTTCCTCGTCGGTCAAAGTCGAAGAGCCAGTGGAACCGCTGACCCATCGGAGATCAGGAAATTATGAAACGTGATGCAGCCTACGATGTACTACACCGTACCAAACAAGCACGTATGGCTCAGGAATTTCGCACTCACGGCGGTCCTGCGTTGCGAAGCGCCTGATGGGAATGTGATCATGTTCTGACCATGGGCATGAACCGTAGACCCTGAACGTTTCGGTGTGAGATATCCAAGAGCACCCAATGCGGACTGGGGGCTCGAATATCAATTCGAGGAAGAAGAAGGGTGCGAGGAGAGAAGGCATTCGGATGTGAGTTCTTGCTGTGTATTCCTTTTGTTTGGGGGGATTGATTGAGTCGGATTCCCGTGGGTTTAATAACCTTAGGACACGTTCTCCTTAGCCGGCCAACCGTCCTGAGCAACTCGTGCCAATCAAACTCGAATTCGATGTGGAGCATCATAAGATGTGCGAGACCTTTGTATGGAATCTGAATGGTAGGCCACTTGCCCAGATCAGCTTTCGTTGCTGCCAGTGACCTCCCCGTCTAGATTCTGTCGTCACTCCTGAGCATTTAGCGCAGACGCTCATCAAGGATTATGTGCTGCCCCAGAATCACCAAGTTGTCATCATGAGAGTGATTCAGGAGCAGCTGAGCGACTTCAAGGTCCACATCAGTGCCAGCGTGGGCGACAACTGGAAACCTCCATCCTCAGCGAGGGGGATAGCGACGACGGATGGCTGTAAAGCAGCGCTGAAGGCGTTGCCGATGATCATAATCGCAAGCTTCTTGAAGATGATGACCTATGGTGAACCGGGGTAGTCCTGACCGCGAGGACGTGACTCAATGGTGGCAATCACAGCGCAAGGAATCAGGGTAAGAAAGTACATTTACTCGCAGCATATCCTTGAGGAATCAATGACGTAAGCGTCGCAGGGTGACCTCGGTCAAGGTCGAGGAAAGCGACGCATTCGAGACTGACAAGGAAATGCTACACACTGCGGATGACAGACCGATGAGAAGATGGTGCATGGTATTTACGGATCTTGATTAAGGTATTTGATTGATCCCCGATTGTGTTTGTGGACCGATGCAAACCTTCTGATCTTAGCTCAACGTCATCGTCAGATCTATAGAGCTGCATGATCAGTTTGAATGGGATCTTGAGAATGTGGATGAAATTTGCGGACGTTTATGCGGAAGACTCGGAGTTAGGCCTTGGTGGGGAATTCAAGTGTGTGGCGTTGCGTGTCCATAACTTTGTCACTGACTTATTCTCTAGTAGAACGGCCGTCGTACATTGCATACACGAACAATTTCAAATTTATCAAAAGTCGCTGTTCCGAGTTGGCCACGCTCAGATGTCCGAGTCGACGACTTGCTCCTTCCTGCCGAACCTCGCATCTGGCACTAGAGCAATGGATCAAGTATAACCGTTCATACCACTACTCAACTATCTCAGCGACGGCGAGATTGAACGTGGTGAGAAGGAGAGGGAGAAAGAACTCACCAAGCACAGGAAATGGAATACACGAGGATGTCAAGGTATTGCTTTACCTGATCGGGAGCCTAGTCGCACATACCGTACACTTGCCTTCTGGTTCCCAGAACTGGATGCTGCAACCCTTACGTTGGCTGCCATGAACGCGCCGACTTCGAGACGTTTTTTGTTTTGTTTTTTGGATCCTTGTTTATTGTCCTGCGGGGCGGAGCCCTATGGTGGACACTGCTTACACTATACTTCGAGACGTGCTTCGGCCGCGGCTGCTTCTCTCACGGTTGCCAGAATGGTTGCCTTCGAAAATGCCACGAGCATCATGCCACTGTAGCTGCCTCCCCAGCAGATCATATCTACTGCTGTCGCTGCTGGAAATGAGAAGAAATCCGAAGGATTGTTCAAGGTGCCTTCTTATCCTTCTTCTGTGCTCCGGCCTAATGCTCAGGTCACTGCTCCCACACCGTCAACAACGGTTGAATCGACGTCGATGGTGCCTTCATCGTTTCTTAATACTGAAGCACCTGCCTCCTCAGTTAGTATCCCTCCCCCCAATTCGCGAGCCGTCGCAAAGAAAGTCAAGGAGTTTGAATTTGTTCGCTTCAAGAACAATACCCAGATAACAAGTTCGAAGCAATCCTGCGTCGACTTGCTCCGCGTGCTGTGTTTGAGTGGAGGATGAAATTTATTTACCGTCCCGGCAAGGTTTGTCTGTACCGCTAGACTCGGGCCAAAGCAGACTTAAATTGGGTTTGTAGCTATATAAGTTAACTCTGGGCCTGGGGATCACGCTGCAGAACTACGAAGTCCATCTTAGAAAATCATCGCTTATAGGTCAATGCTAGCACCTGTATAGGTGCCAGCATCATAATGGATGGTTTGTGCGTTGGCTGGCTTGTGCTATTTTAGTATTTCTCTTTGCCGTCTGCTGTGCTCATCAGCAATCTTTGTAATGTAATAATTTGACTGTTCTGTCATTACATACGCTATACTACAACAATTTTTTGAGTATGGCATACAACATTACTGTGGAAGGTGATCGGTGTGTGAAGGCAATAATACTAAGAATGAACACATAACATTCAAGATACGTTCAGAGGACTGGCATTGCTGGCATGGCAGTAGGTGATGACAGGATGGTGAGTTCTGAAAATGTCATGTTTTGCACTTCTGATTTGACAGGGCAAAACACAGTGGGCACTCGAGCGCACCCTTTAGTTTTGACTCATATTTGGACAGCGGGATGTGCTTATGATCCCACTCATATGCTGGTAAGGGGCTGATGATATGGGTTGAAATGAGGTCCTGCAAATGACTTATTGCTCTCATAGATGATAGGATACTAGTATGCACATAATATTGTACCGTAGTAACTTGAATGGACCTGAAACTTAAAGATGACAAATGTGTGATCTAATCCCCTACTTTCTGCTACCTGAAGGGTTCAATGGAGCAGGTGTTGAAAGTTCCTGGGCGATGCTAAACCCTGGAACAAAAGATGCCAACGGATGGTCTGAATTTTGGGAGGATGAATCTGCAATACGAAGGATATTAGTAAGAGGATACGACTGACAAGAGAAACTTATGCTTACTAGGTAGCGATTTAAGGAAAGCATATACTTGTTCAATTCCTATACCTCGCTGTTGCATATCAACAAAAAATGTGGAAATGTCAGGATCATCCCCAGATGTCGATTTGGGTACTTTTGATGATGGATTTTCTAGACTAGAATCAGCTGTACGTTTAAGAGGAAGAATTATTGAGGAGTCTTGGCATCTTTGGGATACATTGACTTGTTCATCCGCCTGCTGCTGAGATCGTTCTTCCATGGGGGAGATTGCAATCTTAGAGAAGATATGAGCCTGATAATATTTTTAATCCGTATAATACTATGGGCTCACCTGAGTTTCACGCTGTTTTGTATCTCCTTTCTTTGTATCTACAATCGTGATGGGAGTAGGCGAAGTCATTTGTTTAGCTGATACTGGATCCAAGCGGTTCTGGACATCAATCTCTGGAGTATTCTTTGCTGCAGAGTCAGATTAGAGTCAGAGACTGATAATACTACAGCCTTACCGTCGACTTGTCCAATTGTGAGTCAATCAATGACACGTTACTATGCTCATCAGCACCACCGATAAAGCTGGGAGGCACTGGAGACTTTTCTCCAGTCGTCTTAATGAACGAACCTTTATTGACAGGTTAGCTGTGCGTTTATCTGATAGTCACTTCCTTACCTTGAGATTTGCCTCCTTTTTTTTTTGAGGAGGTCGCTTTTGATGTCATTGACTTTGTTTTCCCCTTCTTCAAAGGAACGTCATCATTCTTCAAAAGTACACTCATCTCCTCTACTTCCTCATCTACATTGAACAAAGAACCTGTGTAACGCTGCATTAAAAATTTAACCTAAGAGCAGAAAGCAGATACGTGCGTAAACTGGGTGTTGCCCCTGTGAATGCCTCAAGGACAGCAGCCTTACTGAAGGAGATGTTGTTCAGAAAGACATCCTGAGTGTCAGCCGCAACAATTCGGTAAATATGGACCATTTTTGGTTGAGGGGGACGATAAATGCGTCCAATAAGCTGTCCTTCATCCGTGGCAGACCAAAGTGAATCCTATATTTCAGGATGTAGAAGTATCAGAAAAAATAGCCAATGAAAGAGCAGAAGAGCGTATGAAAAACAAATGCTCACCACAATTATCAATATGTTAGCACAGGGTAAATTGAGACCCGTCAGCCCGACATTAGAGATTATCAAAACACGAGGACCGTCGTGTTGGCTACTTTTGAATTTTTCAATGACATCGGTTCTTGCAGAGGTCGACAATTTGCCATAAATCTGTAAAGTTTGGATGCGATTGAGCTCCAGAACCTGCCGTTCAAAAAGTTTCACGTTACTCCATTTCTAGAAATGCAAATTATAACAATAAGATACCTTCAGCACTTGCGTATAACTAGAAGGGAATGCACAATAAACCACCATTTTGTCACAGGGCAAAGAGTCTGCAACGCTGGCTGGAGGATTGGGAGATGACGCCACTAGCATGTCATTGACGACGCATAAAGCTGGACGACCGTCATGCTCCAGATGCCAACTGATTATATGGGCCAGAACGTCCAGTTTTCGGGAAGGGTCCTTCTTCCACTCCTCCAAATTGGAGGGATTCGCCCATGGATACCCAGCATTGCAGCTGGGGTGCAATAAAGCCCTACGAACACGCGTGTAAAAATCCTAGTGAATTTTATTAGCAAAGGCTGGAATAAGAATGAATGAAATATTGTACCGAGCCAGAAGCAAACTTTGCTGCTCTAGCACTACCTTCCTCAACCAAATCCTTGGCAATGCGCTCAAGATTATCCACCTCGTGGCAGTATAGCTTTACAAGGAGATTGTGCTCTTGAAATGGAGCCAAGCCTGAGATCCTCGTGCCGCCATAATCAACAGACCAAATATTACGGTGTATGACAATGCCTGAAAATCTCTCTCGGATAATTCCAATCCAAGTCAGCATCTGAGTGCGGTATAGACTGGGAACATCAACATTAGCATCGCCCTTTACCGTTCCTACAATTATCTTTGCAATACGGTCGCCTTGTTTCAAGCGTTTACGATCTTTGGCGGTAGCAGCACGCAGTTGACGAACCATCTTTAGAGCCTCGTCATCGTAGGAGCTGCCAAATAGCTCCAGGCCTAGGTATCGTCCAATATTCCACACATCCTGCTCAAAGGAAGTAGACATTGACGTTAAAATTGATTGAGATGATAAATTTGTCACTCACAAGAGGTCGAGAGGTGATGGGTGTTGCAGTCATAGCTACCATGGTGTGACATAGGGAACGAAGGCAAAATATGGCCCAGTAACCCTTTTTGATATTTCGGTAGTTATGAGCCTCGTCCACCAAACCCAACAAGAAATCTCGTCCATAAGCTGTGCTGGATGCATCCGAAGTATAATTGGTTTTCTGTCGTGGGTATTTTGTCGGGGTCAGGTTATTGGCCTCAAAAATGCGATCACAGTCTGATTCTAAAGCCTAGATGCAATGAAACAAAAAGTGAACTTTGCGAACAAAAATTATAATTATATGGGCACCTTGGGAGCAGTGATGATGATCCGTCGCCCTTCTGGTTGCTTTGACCTGCCCCATATATCTTCCCACCAGGTTCGTCGACTGGTCCAAGTACCCAGATACGGTAGAATATCAAAAGCTCCCCGTCGGAGGAATCGGTGCAACTCTGAGGTAAATTGAGAAACTAGATTTGCTGGCACGACGATCATCACTGGGAAATTTGGAATATTTGGAGAGTTGCTCCTCCACTGCTTTCCAGCTCATTGAATTTAGATCAGATCGTTGTCAGAACTTCAACAAAAAGACATACCTATTTTACCCGGAAAGCATCGGTGCACGGAGTAAAATTCTCGATAGAATGAAAGCACCGCAATTAAGGCAGTGACTTGAATGGTTTTACCTAGGCCTACTTCGTCCATGAGCAGGACGGGCATTTCACAAAATGCGTTCTTGACCATCTTTGCCAGACCGACTAGCTGGTGCCAGCGAAGAGCTAGAGGTTCTCCGTTTTCTTTCAACCAGGTCTGACCATGGTCCGTCCAGGGGTCACAATTGCCATAGGAGTCTTGCAGAAGGTTAAAGAACGGTATTTGCTTTTCTGGAAGTCCAAGAATAGTCCAAAGGTCGTCCTCAGACATACTGTTGTACTCTTCTACGCCTTCAGACCACTGAAAGTCACAATCATGGGTGGCATCTGGGTCAAATTGAGGTATGGAGTCTGCAGGCATTGCATTAGGATCGCAAAGTTTCAACTGGTCTTGAATGGACGCAGTGAGTAGAGTAATATCCTGCTGGGTGGCAAGGAATGAAAGTGCTTGACGTAGAGACTTAGGTAGCCCTATCTCAAAAAGTAAGCAAATAGCGGCAAAGATGAGTTGAGGTTAACCCACGGTACTGATTTCCACTCTTCACATCTATCCCTAAGCCTTGAAGAAGGTCGCTAAGTATCTCTCGCTGCTCTGAAAGCTGCTTCAGCGATTCTTGATCACCATATCGAGTCAGGATTTTTGTAAGGCCGTCCACATCCTTGAGCCAGGCTCTGATGCCTTCTGCGTCCAGACATTTGCTTTGTTCCGTGGTTGACAAGAATTCTGGATAAATAGGATTAGGCATTAGAAAGATCCAGTATAGAAAAAGGCGCACCTTTCCAGGCACAGTCGACTTGACTCCTTAACTTTCCAACTCTACCCCTTTCCCGTCCAATAGACTTTCTATTCTTTGCCCAATGGTGGGCCAGAAGGATATCCAGGAAGCGCCGAACTGGCTCCTTAAGTGCAATGCCATCCTCCGTAGAAGATTCAGGGCCAAAAAGTGCCTCTGCAAGGCCAGAGTAGGCGAGGGCCACCTGAGAGGTGGCAAGGTCTGGGAGCTTATTTAAACGATGAGGACATAGTATGGAAACAAAAATAGTAAATAAATCTCACATTTGCTACCTTGAGACGCTTCATAACTGAATAAGGGTCAAGGCCCCGTTCAGCCAGTACCGTATCAACGGTACTGTTTATTTTCCAGTTTGACCAATTGAAATGGCAATAGTCTAGCCAAAGTTGTCGTCCTTGGTTGTCGTTATCGGAGCGATCTTTTTTGATGTAATCAACTTGGGCAGCATCGTCTATGGCCCAGAAATTGCGAGTAAATGTCAAGACGGCCTGATGGACCTTGGGGGATTTCCAAGCACTGGGAGTGTCCTCGTTTATAGTCGCTGATAAGGGAGTTGAACTAAGCATAGTACGCTGTTGCCACACAGGCCAACACCAAGGAATACAGCCTGTCTCTGGGTGCACAGCGGTGTCCTCCAAAGAATGAGGCTCTTCCGCATAAGAAGGGGCACTGAGGGCAAGAAGAGCGCCAGGCATGGTAATGGTAGGCATTTTTGCAGAGGAATAGATGGGCTCTGAGGGTATTGAAGGGAAGCATATGACTATTCACGTACATATAGTTTTCTGTATCTTCTGAACTTCAGCAAGTTTCAACGGGACCGTGCCGTGGAGTTTAGTAAGAAGGGTCAATATATCTTCTATCAGAACACTCAATCATGAAACATAATTGTCTGCCAGACCCATCACTGGCAGAACACCGCAATATCACATTTTCTGAGCTTATCATCGTATAATCACTGGCAGTCTGGGATGTCCCCTGGGGTCTAATCACCGTCTGGGAATCATGTATTCAGATCCCCATTCAGGGTATTGGTAGTAGTCCAGGATGTTCATAGGGATAGAATCATGGGGTACTAGCATCCAGATCCCCGCAGAGTACCTAGTAGATCTCCTTATCCCAATAATGAGTGATTCTAGTCACCCACAATCTTAATTAAATAGAATTGGTGCATAGACATAACAGAAGTATTAAGTGATACATACCAAAAGGTCCCAACTCTCCTCCTAGGCCCCAACTCTCCTCCTCGGCCACTCTTAACATTAAGGGCATTCATCAAATGAAAATCTCATGAGTAGTCAACTAAGCCTACGATCAACGGCCAGGGATCAACACAAATGAGCAACAAAAACTGTCAGTTGGGAGATCATGACGGTCCCTCCCAGGCGCCAACTCTCCTCCGAGATCAATTGATGATACTCTTACTATCTTTGGAGGCCAAATAAAAAATTTGTACGTATTCACGGATCAGAACATGGATCAGTCTGCGACAAACGGATCAGAGCACAGATCAGTCTGCGATAAACGGATCAGAACATGGATCAGAACCGGTTTAGAATCATCACCAGACGCAGTTGTTAGACCAACTTCACTGGGTATTATTACCCCATCCTGTGGCGGTCTACTAAAAAGGATAAGGAATGGACAAGCCTCTGGGAGAAGGGAGAAATTGTCCACGCATAGCTATCAATTGTTGGCCCAGATGTAGTTGCAAAGGCGCTAACAATACATTTCAATCGCATTCTCATTCACCTGGTTCTGAGTCGTCGAAGCCAATTCAATTCATATCATCTAAACGCCCTAATTAAACCCCATAATTCAGATCCCCAAATAATGCACCCTGATGTCCTAGCTACCCGGAAAATATGAGTTTCAGCGATCTCAACACAAGAACACGCATCACCAGTCAGGCTCGCTACCAGCTGGTATCCTCTCTTGCTAGCACCTTAATCAACATCTATCCTGCCTAGAATCATATCAATTTCTGCATCTACGGTCCAGCCAAGAGACGAGTAGCAGAAGCTCAACAAGTCCGCAGGTGAGGATACAGGCGTGATTGCATCATGGTTTGCCCGTAAGTTATCAGAACCCAGGTAAAATCCTATTGTGTTTGTGTGTCCAGAGTTCAGGAGGGTAAAACACGACATCAGGGCAGGAAAGACAAATAAGCGGGTAGTAGGAGTCAATTACAAAATTGGAGTTATTGCGGGGAGCTAAAAGCTGTCGGGATGCGTCAGGATCGTCCAGGATTAATCGGATTCAGGGTACCAGGGAGGATGAAGAGGATTAAGGCCAAAGCATGGATCAACAGGGGTATGAGTCCGGCACGAGGAAGAATTTGTCCATGAGGAAAGGATGCAAAATAAGTTGGTAGCCAGGGGACAGATCATGAATATAGCGACAGTCAGTTGCAGCAAAGTTTCAACGAGGTGGTGACAGCTGCGGGATTCTGTTCAACGTAAGACACGAGGATAAGCAGTGAGTTGGCCGGAACCAGAGAATTATGTTTGTGGCTGCTAGCATGATAAGTAAAATCATACAGGTCATACTTACTAAGGCGGTTTACCTGAGGGAGGGAGCACGCCAGGCAGGATCGAAGATTCATAGAAAGACCAGGTTCAGGAATCAGCTCCAACGAACGACGAAGGATGCCTATGACGCTGTCACATGACCCAGAGAACGTGGCACTTTTTCCTTGAGTGACGTCATCACTCAAGGAAAAAGTGCCATGTGGCTTGCATCATGTGACCTAGCGACCATTTCCGGCATAACGAGGTGGAATTCATCACCGCATCCACTAGTCAAACGTCCATCACCTTGTCTACTGGGACGTCATTGTCTTGTGCAGAATTCCCTGCTTACTATTTTCTTTGTGAAACCTTCGTCCATTCTGTTAGACCACTGATGGAATAATTTTAGACGTTGACACCTATGTTTCTGTTCACGCGTTTGCAGGCATGCAGACGTCCACAACGCAGCTTAGAGGGGCAAGATATATGGCATAAGTTTCGCCGCTCTTTTGTTTGTGCTTGGCACACAACCGACTAAGAACCTTGTTACCCTCAGCACCTCCCAGTGCATTCTCAGCGAGCGTTCGGGTATGACTTCGAGTGCTGTAGCATATGGCTTCACAGCACGTTGTGCCAGCCCCTCATCCCATATGCCTAGCTCTAGTTCTATTGCGCCTGCACCAGGAACTAGTCGTATTTTATAAGGGATTTGACCATATTGACACCATTTTTGATTGCGCTCGGGATTGTCGAGATGGTTGGCTGCTGCTTCCCTAAGCACGATCGTCGTTGTATGTGTCTTTTCTGTATGTCCCTGATACCTATCCTTTCCGAGAGCTAGCTGACAGAGGACGGTGACGCAGTCTCCATCGATCTCCGTCATCTCGAAGAATGTCGAAGTAGCTTGCTTCCTCTGAGGTAGGGTGCGCTGATGCACGTGAGAGGCGTGACATCGACAGTGCGAGCTATGCAGTCGTGGAGGTTGAATCCGGAGAGGACCTCGAGAACGGCTATATTGAAGCGAGGTAGTGTAGAGCGAAGTCGCTGGTGGACGAGCCTGTGATGATGGCTTTTATGCCTGAATCGCCGATTTCTTTGAAGAACTGATTATTGAATGACAGTTAGTAAATGTAGAAGGTAATGGGATAGAGGAAAACATACTCTTTCAAGTTGTTAGATGCGAGTGAACGTGACAGGTTTGATAAGGGCTTCCTATGTGAAAGGGGACAGCAGGCTAGATGTCGATCATCGGATCTGTACTGCTTCATAAGGAAACTTAAAACAAGATGAGGAAGTGACTCATTTTCGAGTTCACTGAGGGCTTTGGTACATGTGAACTTGTATACCCTGATTCAGACGTTGCTAGGGTGGAGGTCTGTCTATCATAAGAAGGTTCTCTTGCGGGAATGACGATCATGTCGGTGGAGTCACCCATCTGGATTTAAGTTGACAAGTAGACAAGAAATATGATGGAGAAGGACATACCTCAGACTCTTGAACTTGTGACACGATAACAAGGAGCTTGGCTCCTGGGTGAATGACTTTGTGGTAGCGGCATCGGATGTTACGAAAAAGTCGGCCAAGGTGATTTATCCCGAGTCAGGATAGACATATCTAAGCGCAGGAGACGTACCATTAGCATTGTTGTTGAAAGGCGTTGGGAGAAAAAGGACGTGCAACATGGATTGCATAGTGAAGGTGGTGAATTTTGTGAGAATGTGGAGGAGGGGCCGGGGGAACGCATACCTGAGGAATCGTCAGTATCTATGGACTCAGCGTCTCTCTTTGGTATCTGCCCGAAGGACACACTGGAGGTAGCAAGTGATTGTGGGTGCGTGAGCAAAGATGATAGTATTCAGCGTGGTGCTCAGAATGAGAAAGTCAAAAAGTAAGATGGGTGACGGGGTGAGTCGGACGGGCGCCCACGGAACAAAAAATACAAGGAAGCAGATCAGGTGCGACACTGCTAAGGAACCCTCGAACAGCTATATCATTTCGGAACTGGTTTGTGTTCATTCAGAAGCGTTATTGAATAGACGACTTTTGACGAAGCATCTCCCCCTTACACCACAATATCTCCACTATCTTCTCCCTGCCCTTGAGCGCGTGATAAAACCCCAACCCCTACGCCAGTACCACACACAAGTCATCTTCTCCAATCAACAACACAGGCGCGCGTACATAGGCAAAGCTTCGGACAATTGTTTTGAATGTGGGGGGCGTCATGGGCGAGCCCGGGGTAAATTGGAGCCTGAATTCAGCGTAGGCCCAGTCGGGGATGTCGGACGCTGTTAGTTCACCTGCGCTAGTTACGGGGTTGCGCATCACTGCTGCATTGAATAGGGTTGGGTATTGGCTGATCACTATACGAAAAGCGCTGTTTTTGTTTTGAAGGGAAATCTTACAGTGTGTGGTGAGGAAACCGCCGTGGCTTCCACCTTGAACAACTTGTCATCCGCACTCTGAGATACCGAGCCGGATGAGCTCATTGACACTCTCTACGACGTCTTGCACGTCCATTGTCCGCGATGCCCGGAAAGTTTTTGGATATTTTTTTGGCCGAATCCCATAGAGCCGGTATGGTTGGGAAGGCACAGGGTATCTTGCCTAAGTGATTGTAGCTGCGAAGTTGGAAGAGACTTGCATCCTTCTAAGGCTAGTGCGGCAGTAGCCAGGTAGACTGATGTCGTCGATGATGCATGTGGTCCTCGATGTGGGATGGTAACGCAGATGGGTTTCGGGCCAGGTCTCGTGGAAGCTTTCTTCGAGTGAGTAACAAGAGTCTCTGTTCACGCGCACCAATGGGTATGATCGATGCAGTGAGATCGCTGAGCGCTTTTTCAGCTGAAAGGCGTGATGAGATTTGACAAAAATCGAAATCGATCTGAACGTACTTGCGAAAGTTGACATTGGCTTATCTAGGACTTTCCAATCGAGGTTGTCGCGTTAATCAAAGTATTCCTAGTAATACTTCGGATGGGGTAGTAGGCGTACTCCTTGAACAGATGAGGCGCACCTTGTCATCTGTAGCATGTAAGTCCCAACTATACAAAGGTTCGCTATCTCGCATTTTTGCCTCCTCTGAAACTGCTCCAAATTCTGTATCAATGAAAAGGATTGTCGCACGGGAGCGCCATAAGGAGTGGAGCAAGATGTATATACGGCCTCCGTGATGCAAAAACGGGCTTGATGGCATGTTGTAATTGGGATATAGACCTGGAAAACTGTTTTCGAGGGTAGGTTCCATCACAGTGTCCACGAGGACCTTGTTGGTACCCGTGGTTAGGTCGCGAGATTCCAGAGAAACCCAAGATGCGCGAGGACCGCCCACGGGATTTGAATCAGAAGAGTTTAGTGGGCGTCTGACTGGTATGACACACGAGGTGAACGACAAAACCGTTCTGACGGAGTGAGCTTCTATGTGTTGCACGATATTCTAGCGCCGAAATGTGTCCCTTGGATAGTTACTGACTCGGGAAGTTTAATCCCCCATATACCATGGGACGATTGAGGCATCATTCAACTCCCAGTAGTCGACCATCTTCGGTGTATTTGTGCCCGCTGGCGTAGATGACATCATCCGTCGCAAAAGTAGCTTGGCCAAACAGGACGGGTATTTGGGTAGGCTGTGCCAGCGAAGGGGCAACGAGCAGTTGTAAATTTAAACGCCTTAACTTCAGAGGAATCATGGGATGTTGTCCGATGATCAGAAGATCGTCACCTGACGCAAGCCACATGGCACTTTTTCCTTGAGTGATGACGTCACTCAAGGAAAAAGTGCCACGTTTTCTCAATCACGTGATCACACCTTCCGTTCTACCCTGGTACCCCGGTCATCAGTAAACCGGTGAGTTCTTGCTGGGGATTATGCTGATTATGGTGCCTTTACATAGTCATATATTGCTTTATATTCCAATGTGACGAAAACCTTTCCTATATATTACGATATATAACGATATATGACGATATCTTCTTCTCACAGGTTCTCTGATGGTCTCCTGCTCGTTGTGCTATTCCTGAATGTCCTCCCATATCCCCCTAACTTCCTTGCTGTTTTCTTCAAACCTCGTCCTAAGCCGGTTCCCAGACTGACGACAGCGACGGAACGAAGGCCGAACTTCACTGCGGCAATTCAGCGGGCTCAATCGGTCATGGAACAATGCGGAGCACGGAGGGGTGCGTCAGTCTTCCCATAAACACGTCTAACATCTTCAACGAGCCCTGTAATCATTTTTTTCGGATGGTGGGTGCCATATTGTGGATCGGACTGTTCAAGATTTGTGCTGCTCTGCGGTTCGTCTTCGGTTCGCACCCTGGTTTTTTCTTCCATTGGCAACCTTTGACATTCTCTAGCAGAGCGTGGTCTTTTCACGCAGTATCATTTGGTTTAGATCCACGACCCTATAACGGGTCCTGGAACTTTATTCAACATGGGTAAGATGATCAAATCGAGTGGCCGAGCGGACATAGTGGACTCCCTTCAATACTTCTTAAGACGCCCCATTTTTCTATGACGACCCCCAGATCATCATTATTAGATCTGAGGGCTCCTGTCTCTCAAACTCGTGATTCTATCATAATTTAGGCAAGCTCACAACTGAGATAGGTTCTCATCGGCACCGCTCAGAACGGCTCCGCAGCGGAGCTCGTATGTTGGTCTAAAAGGAAATGTATCAACTGTTTATGCAGAATTATTTATGATCCGGATTGACTGAGCCGAAGCTGGCGGGGGTCAGTTGGAATGCAAAAGAAAAGACCTTTGAGAACACCCCGTTCTTAGACGTCAGACCCTGAATCCTTCCATGGATTTGGATCATGAATGCATGATTGATATAAGCGTTTGCCACAAGTTCGATCATACTATGTCCGCCACAGAGAACTCAGAAGACCCTGATACCAGACTTACTACAGGCCGAAAGGAAGCTGGGTAATTTAGAAGCCACCCCAAGATCTTTGAAGGTTCTGTTTGTTTCTGCGGTAAAACCTTTTAGCGGTCAAGGCCTTGGCTAGAGATGATAAAAATTTGTCGCCTCCAGCTGCTTGTCATTCTGCTGAATATGCTGATTGACTTTACAACCTTAGACCATGGAATAATGACTAGGAGACAAACAAATTTGTGTGTATGGGATTTGGGAAAACAGCTTATAGTCGGTACGCAAGTAGCACCAGCAGGGAGTCGGACATAGATTCAAATCCCAACGGGGCAATCAATCGCTTTATGTCCTCCATTGTCTACTAGGAACTTGATGTCGGAGTCAATGGGAAAGCTAACCCTAATCTGCTATTTTATTTTGTGGCCAGTAATATAACTCTAGATCACTGGGGAAATAAAATCGAGCACCTTGGGTTCCAGGTTGGCGCAGGATAACTTGAGTGCACAGCATTTGTCCGGACTGAGTTGAATCTGGAGGGAGGGGCATTTCAAAGTTGGACATATTGGGCGTTTGTGAAGACATTGCGTACTGTGTGACTTCCATGCGGCATGCTTTGTTGGATGTCATCAGTATTGCATAGACCAACCGTTGGAACCTACAAAATTGTCAGCTCATTGGACCACCCTTCCAACGCACACTAGGTAACTCTCCCAGCTCGTCTTGCATTACATTGGAGGCATGAGCATGAGCCGCATGTTACCATCCCTGCCATGTCCTACCAATTGTCAGGGAGATGATGGGGGGAGAGGAGTGCATGGACGAGGTGTAGATAAAGAATCTCACAACAATACATAGCGACTATGCTAAGCCACAGCGTTACACTAATGACTGGTGTAAACAGAGATACCGTACAAGTTGAATATACAAACACAGCGGTGACAGCACACTGTCTTTTACTCCTCGTCAGACATTCTGAATGAATCCACGCTGCTTGGGAGGATTGCAAGTTCAATTGGCACAGGCTCAGATCCCCTCGCAAAGCGCCCTCTCACGTTGAGCAAAAGACGGTTGCAGAGCAATGATGGCAAAACAATAGACCAACTAACAATTTGTTTTAGAACTATAACATGCAGGAAGACTGAGACTCACGGCATGAAGAGGTTGATATAGGATGGATACCGGGCCCAGACGATACTTGACCCAATAAGTTGCATGAATATTCTGTAGACGGTATAGTCAAGGATATTGTGATGGTCACCTAGAGACCAACGGACATACACGAGAAAGTATAATAAACTTGACTAGTCATCAGCGTTCATATCTCATGGAAGACAATAATTGCCAACCTGTCGCGGGCCAGAAATGTTGCAAGTTCACTGCGTTGTTGTCGGTCCAGAAAAACTTTCTTTAGGATGAGTATGCAAATGACAGGTTCAAATATCAGTGCTGGCGTCCAAAAGATTGCAGAGAGGGGGGCGAGACCCTCAAAGAGACAGCCCGCTGGAGTGGAAACTACTGGGAATCCTGACAGCAGTTCATTCAGTCGCTTCTACAATGAAAACTACTAGACTCACTTTCGACACGAGCAATTGTCAAGCCAATGAGGAGTGCCATCATTGCTACCTCGATTATATTTAGGACAATCATCCAAGAAAGCACTCTGCGACTTCGGTTATAAATTGCCCACACCTTGAAGGACGTTAGTTGGTGACTTTTCATACAAAATTGCTGGACTCCCTCTAAGCTGTAGTGTTGCTGATACAAATGAAGGTTCAACGGATGATGGATGCAGGAGCTGTATACTTACTTTGAACGGAAACGGTCATAAGGAGTGCACTGTGGAATCATGAGTAAGATATCCAAAGAAAGCGACCCCCACAACTTACATAATATTGTTGCATAACATGTAAGTAACGCAACTAGTAGGCCAGAGGAGGGAGTCAATTTCACGGATGTCACAGCGATATGAACATACGTCTGAAGGAGCGGTTAGCATAAGATGATGAAAGGGTCTAGCAAAAGAATTACCTTGGATGATACTGCTTCATATTGGCTTTGTTGTACTTTGAATGCTAGTCAACAGAATTAGCGGCCATCAATACTTCCTACTTACTTGTGTTGAACGTGAGCCATAACTCTGGAAGCCAGCGGTTCTCCAGAGCGCATTAGTGTAGTGCACATTCTGTTCTATTATGCCAACTCACAAAATGATAGAGATATGTCACCCAACTTTTTTTCTTCAACCAGATCAGATCAATCTGCCGAATCATATCTGAACAGTTACAGTCGCCGGAATCAGATTGATAGCTTACCTCGTCCTCAAAGGTAATGACTGCCAGAAATGGGAGTCAGTAAGCCAAGCAAATTGCACAGAAAAATTCCTTACTATGTTCATAAATGAGAAGTCCCAGCGCCGCAGCTCGTGATTGCTTCCCAATATTCACTAAATGGTGTATATCCATCAGTAAACAGCTCAAGAAACAAGTCACAGTCACCAACAAGCTCGTTGAGCCGACAGAGAAACCAATGTGATATCCAACATGAATTAAATGGTTGAAAATATCTGTAGCATGACAGGAAGTAAAACCGGCTTTAAGACTCGGCACGCAAACAAAGGCTCGGCGCTCGGCACTCAGCTGCGAAGCAAACACATGTGGTCACTACTCGATCATGGCCCCAATCTAGTAGTTGGATGCCATGTAGTATAGGATAAAACGGACCCGATTACTACGCAGGGGGTTCTGGAGTTCTTGCTCCAAAAAGTTCAAAATAACCAGCAGGAAAATCATAAAGCTAGGCTTGACTGATACCATTTATGCGGTCAAGTTCTCAGGGGTAACCGGGACCTCAGGTGCTTTCTACCAAACTTAACATACAAAAAATGACAGTTGTGAGCAGAGAAGTGTACATGGGGAATCTTGATAAAATATGCTGTGTGACTTTTGGAAACGTACGATAGTACTACTGGCAATGATCGATCAAAAAACTGATTGACCTTGGCCCATGCTTCCTGGACCCTGACCAGGAACACGGCATCATATAAGTAAATACTGCCATCTTGGGTCTGGCGAGTTACCTGGAAATAAATTTTCAGAGGTCAGACACCAGCAGCGGGCATATGCATATATGTCCGTTGATCGGCAGAGCAGCTAGAGCCTTCGGAGCTAAGAAAGTGAAAATAGGCATACCTCAAATATGTCCGTCAAAATGATAGTCGCTGCTCCCTTGAAATAGAGATGAATCTATGCAAAGGTCAGCCACATACTCAAGAGCCAACGAGATTATCTTCAATGTGTCCAACAACCTAGTTGAAGGCGTTCTGGCCAGAGAATCAGATCCATCTCATTGAGAATGGTTCAATTGTTTCAAAAAACATCGTTGCCAGTTTCTGAGTGACATTTTTAGCATTTCTTAATACAACCCGAGTGTATATGTCTGTGATACCTCTGGTGGCATCCTTTACTAGGTTGAATAGTCCAGGACAGACTTTAGGACGGGTTTATGATTGAGAGCTATAATTAGACCTAGCTGGTGGATATTCTATGGCGTCACATGAAATGGGCTGAACCTTATCAGTAGTAGTAGAGAGCAAAGCAAAGCAGGTCCAGCTTTGTCTAGCTCAAGTCAATGGCAGGAGCTAAGAAGGTGGAACCAGTCTAACGACCCATAGCTGGCCTTAAGAGATGAACAGGAGCAAATAATACAACGATATCAAGAAATTAGTAATATGAAATGACGAAACAACTACAGAGTACCGATGAACCAAAACCCTATAGAGCTAAAGGGAGCAGCTGGTGAGTAAAAAAAAGAGATGTTGGTTCTGGTGAGGAGTGATAGTAGGTATGATAACCCTCTTGATAAACTCAACATCATACATAGAATGACATCATCACTCAGTGTCAGGACGAATGAATCTAACTAGCAATTAAAAGTAGTATTAAAATAACTGTAACCTCACCGCAGGATATAGGTAGAAAGAATGGTGTTGTACGTCTACGAGACACTGAGGTCAGTATCAAACCATGAATGAGGGTGGATCAAACGCTTAACAGAAGTCAACAGGTCACTTGTGAGCCTCATCTGTTTGATGGTACGGTGAGTGGTCCAAGTCAGGAGTGCCTAGGTGCCCAGACACGGAGATAAGCGCACAGGCACAAGTCTAAGAAGATCGCTTGTTGAGATGCTGTCCACCTGGGAGAAGAAGAAGGGAGAAGAAGGGAGCCGGCAGCAGGCGATCACTGGATGCAAATGGGGGTGAGCTGGCAAATGTCCATCTAGGCCCGGGCCTTAGGATTTTGCCCATCATACACATCCAGCACCCTGCACAACAAGTCTACGGTCTTAAAGATGATTATGATTAAGAAATACCGTAGTACATGTTTTTGTGTAAGAATTATGTGGTATCATAGTGAATATAGTACTTCATGGGTGTGGTAGTGACGTGGTAGGGTGCGGCAGGGGAGGCAGGCAGGCTGTGAAATCACTGGCAGGTGTTGCAGGGGTGGCGTAGTGTGAACACCCCAGGTATAGTGCTGCGGTATAGTGCTGCGAGTGATATTCTGATTCAAAGACATGGACCAAAACTGGAGGCACGGAGTGAAAGAGAAAGGCCAAAAAATACTCACCATGACGCGGACATGTTCATTGGGTGTAGTAGTGCGAGGTTGCACGGTCGCAGTTTCTGTGTGGCTGAAACCTGAGACCAGAGAATGTCAAGACGCCAGCCTCTGAGTGGTCATTAGGTTACTTACTTTCTTTTCTTGACCTGAGAGGGGCTATGGGACAGTTGTCAGAAATGAGGGTCGAATGAGGGTTGAATGTTCGGTGATGATGTGTTAGTGGTGCCAGCAAGTTGCGGCAGTGATGTGGTGAGCCCCATCTAGGGCATTCAACATTGCAACCCCGATAGAACGACAATTTATAAGCCTTAGTTAGACAATGGGTGACAATACTAGAAGATGTATCGGACTTTTTGGATTATAGTCCAGTTAGGATATATCTATATAACAGTATAGGCTGACCTCACATGGCTCTCTATGAGATTAGTCTTTCTTCTGGGAGGCACGGTGACTGGGAAGCAATTTTTGTAATTTTTGCAGAGTATGACACTGTCAACCATCCCCCTTCACTAATACATGGCCAGTAGCTTTGTATCCTCACCTGTGCTCTCATGACAGCCTGCGAGGCCTTGTTTGCTGAAGAGTTAGTCTACCTGGACGAAGTTGTGACATGGCTGACTTCAACACATGACGTCAGAAATGCCTTTGGCGGGGGGCGACTCTTGTCGTAACCTCAAGCTCACATGGAAATCAAACTTGATGCCAACTCATACTAGCACCAACGTAGCAGACACTCACAAGGTTCCCAGGCAGTTCACAGGCTATTGGAGAGGAGCTGATGGTGTTCATCCTCGGACTCCGGGCCAGCATGACAATACTATCTTCAGAAGGTGTTTGTGACATGCCTCGTGCATAAGATATCTAGATGACGGTGGTTTTGCAATATGAGACTATGATATATCTGAAATAGGTGGTTTTCCAAATTCAGATGTGCATCTCATTATTCTTGAGAATTGCTGTAAGTTCTTTGACGCCCACAAGCTGCCTCTTTGGCCTGATCAGTAGAATTCTTCTACAAGACTTTCTTGTGTGATAAAGGTAAAGGGCTAAACGGCAGAAATATTGATCAGAATTTCTGTTGTAGCGACACCAATCAAAAATGTATACTACTACAATATTTTGCTGCCGGAATATGGAGACCATGGCGTGTTCATTGATGCTTACAGGGGTAACGGAGTGCACTCCTAAGATCCAAGGCATGGGAATGAGCGTGTGTTTAAGTATCGCCATCTGGAATGAACTTGTACCAGGTTAGTATGCATATGGGGGTCAAAAGTGTGGACGGTAGATCCCAGGAATTTTCCAGATGGTGCATTATGGCGTGATTTATTCCAAAGGACTTATGGAACACCATGACGGCGATCAATGTCAGAAGTGTCGCAGTGCGTGACTTGGAGATAGACATCATGCATCTGCATCATGGCTCAAAGAAAGTCGCTGTATGTAGAAATGCTTGCCTCATGTACGGGATTGATTATATATATTAGGTGGACAAAGGCACTTACCTCCATTTATTCAAGTATGGCGGCAATTCTCAGCTTTGCTCCAAATATAGATGGTTGATACGTACGATACATAAATATTACATATGATGGGCATACGTGGTCAACTACGTGGTCAACGTGTCGTCACTAAGCATCCTAGCCTCAATGACTACAATATCTCGTTTGTCTTAATTCACTTTCACTATACCTCTATGGTATACTGATGTATTAGCAACAGCATCTGCTAGTGGGTTCGCATTTGGTCTACCCCAGAGTCCCAACACCGGTCCCAACACCGGTCCCAACACTGGTCCCAACCCAGGCCACACACATATTACAGTGACCTATCTCCGTATAATACGAGGGAACGGACATGCATAATATCCCGTATGATACGGGCCAGCGGACCATGGGCCCATGATAAAAATATCCTCGACTATGACGGATGGGCCGGGAGGCAAATTATTCCCGATGGAGGCGGGTGGGCCCATGCAGGGAATATATAGAGTAGATGAGTGGGCCGATGTATATGAATATTAGGTAGACGGGTGGGCCGAGGTAGTTGGATATTATGCAGATGGGTGTATTAAGGTAGATGTGTATGAGATAGATGGGTAGGTACTTGTTATCACATTCACGGGTGGGCCCAGACACATATTAAATTAGACGGGTGGGCTGAGGGTATTATAAAATATTGTATTAGACGGGTAGGCCCAGACGCATATTAATTAGACGGGTGGGCCGAGGGTGTTGTATGGGATGTTGTATTAGATGGGTGGGCCGAGGGTGGTATAAAATATAGATGGGTGGGCCCATGTGTATCATAATTGTAGACATGATGGAGCTGAGGTAGTTGTACATCAACCAAATCAGAGGAGGTAATAAATCAAAGTTACCGAGTTCCCGGAGCAGCAGGTGATCTCCTGACATGGCCTTTGATGGTGCACAGGTTGTCTTGCAGAATTTGGAATCCGGGGTGCAAAGCTTGTGTTGCCCTACGAGACACCAAGTTCCGACCACCCAAATTTGGGTCAACCGTACCGACTTCTGAGTTCCAGGACCCAGGAGTCGACAAATGAATATCTGATAACCAGCACACTTCCAATCAGGTAGTATTTCATTGAGCAATGGATCATCCAAGGGGTCCCTTATCGGACTCGGTAGTCAATATAGGCAAATGATAATGAAAACATGAAAGTTGTTATTATGCTATTTTTCAAACCCGAGACCCTGAAACCCATTGTTCAACATGTCCATTTTTCACTCACTGCACAAATCACCGAGTTTCGAGTGCTGAAACCCAAAACTCAAAACCCGGTGTGCAACACATCGATTGTTCATTTACATTACACAGATCATCGAGTTCCGAGTGTTGAGCGCCGAAACCCGAAAATATGTATGGAACATGTCCATTTCTTACTCATTGCACATATCACCGAGTTTCGAGTGCCGAAACCCGAAACTCGAAACCCAGTGTGCATCATGTCCATTGTTCAATTATATTACACAAGTCATCGAGTTCCGAGTTCCGAGGGACGAAATCCAAACCCCGGACCCCGAAAATATGTGCGCAACATGTCCATTTTTCACTCACTGCACAAATCACTGAGTTTCGAGTGCCAAAGCATGAAACTTGAAACCCAGTGTGCAACATGTTGATTTTTCATTTATATCACACAAATAACCAAGTGCCAAGTGCCAAGTGCCGAAACCCGAAGCCCGAGACCCGAAAATATGTATGCAACATTTCCATTTTTCACTTGTTGCACAAATCACTGAGTTTCAAGTGCCGAAACCCAAAACTCAA